AAGCAGATGTGGCTGCCCCAAGCAGATGTGGCTGCCCCAAGCAGATGTGGCTGCCCCAAGCAGATGTGGCTGCCCCAAGCAGATGTGGCTGCCCCTGGATCCCCGGCAGTGTCCAAGGCCAGGCTGGATGGGGCTCTGAGAAACCTGTGATAATGGAAGATTATCCCTGCCCATGGCAGAGGGGGTGGAATTAGCTGATCTTTCAAGTCCCTCCCCAAACCATTCTCTCACTCTATGATTTTATTCTCAGTAGCTCTGTTACTGCTCAGGTTGCTAAACCAGGACTCAGCTCAGCAGCCAAGGAGCAGGACATCGCAGTCAGAGGGAATGGGAAGAACAGAACTCACACCCTCTGGGCCCAGACTGACAAGCATCCTGTCAGGAATATGCTTGGATGTATAATTTATACCAATAGTTCCTAAAGATTTTGGGAACAGTCTGCCAGGTTGACAGACAGCCACCTCTTCAGGCCTTTCACTGCAAGCCCTGTAATAATGGTTCAGATTCCTGGATTACATGCAGAAATAGGTTAAAGCCCACAACAGATTCTCCACATTCCAGCAGCACACTCAGCACTACTGAGATTGTTCTGCCAACTCCTTCTCTATTTCAGGTGAGAGACAAATGTCAAACATTACCAGGTCTTACCTAGCAGAGGGGAGCTGTGCCAGCGTGAAGCACCTGATAGCAGTGCCCAGGGAAAGTCAGAGTACAAGGTGGGTCCCTCATTCCATGGTCTTTTGGATCTGTGGAGCTGCTAATTGAAAAAATAAGAAGTGCTTCTGTTCCACTGCACTGAATACATTAATGCCGCCAACTCCCCCCACACACAGGCATCTGCATAATGTAACACCAACAGTTACACAAATACATCTTTCTGTGGCTTTTTTGTCAAGAAAAGCAGAAGAGCTCATATCTTTAATGGGCAGAACAGTTACAGGAAGAGGCAGGATAATGAAACTTTGCACTCGCAACAAAACGTGTTGGTTCAAGCTAGGTCTGGAAATAAATACTACAAAACCAGGCAAGATGAGCCTGAGAAGAGAACCAAAGTAGCCACTCAAATCCTGTGAAGGGAGTAAAAAGAGAAAACAAAGAAAATAATCCAAAACACACTATTTCAGCCAAGCCAAGAGGTGTCATCTGAAGATGGCATCTGAGAAGACTCCTTAAACAACATGTGCAGAGCTGTTTTTGACCTAAGGTTGCTTCAACAATGAAAAATGGAAAAGAAACTGGAATAAGGGCCATCTTCAGACTTTGATGCTTCTCAAAAAGCAATTTATCACATGTGTGTGTTGTGCTTCAGAGGAACCCCGCTTTGCAATAAAGTTTGGAATATGTTTTTGTACGCCTGTAAACACCTGCATGCACATACACAGATATTGATATCAAATTATTTTTTAAAGAATATTTAACTCAAAGTTTCTCATGAGGAACATTATTTATTCCCCTGAGGTGATGAAGGGAAAAACCCCCACCCAAATAAACCCAGCATCCCATTTTAAGAGGCTCAGCAATGACCACAGCAAGCACACTTACCTTCCCTTTTACGTGTGCAGCTATCGTGGGCAGCAGAGCGTACTCAGACTCTGACTCTGCACAGCACTGTTGTAATAGAGAGAGAGTTTAAGGCAGGCAGGTAAGGAAAAAAACCCAACAAAAAAAAGGAGAAGGAGCACTACACCACTGATTCTGAGCAAAATGAAACTTTATCTTCCCAGCTGAACTACTTGCAGCTATCAGCTGCAAAACTGCAACTACAAAATGCTGCAGCTGTTTGCCCTTGCTACCTTCAGACTTTAATTTTGCAGACCCTTATGTACAAATAAAGTTTTATTCACGTGCAGATGGCCCAGCTTTGACTCTGTTCCTCTGATGCTCCTGTCCCCCTCTGATGCCCCCTGCCTAGGGGACATTTCAGGACCTTCTGTTTGATGTTAAATACCTTGTTGATCTGTGCTGAATCCAGAGTGCTCAGATTCTGAGCTATAGTGTTCCTTACTAGAGACAGTTGGGAAAAAAGTCTCTCCATGATGTTTCCCCCTCCACCCCCTCCCAAAGTTGAGGCAAGTAATTTTATTCCAAGCAAAGCACTCCAGAGTTATGTAATTTCCAATGTATTTCTCCACAGAGGGCCACAAAGTTAATAACTGTTTCACTGCCTATTCCAATGTCTGGGTACTGAAAACACCTTACATTATGAAATTTTAAACATTTGTTTTCAAGCCTGTCTGCAGAGTGGGACAAAAATCACACCAGTGCATTAGAGAAGGTTTCCCAGCCCCTTTTGATACAATCACAATTGCTCACAGTGAAGACCAACACCACACCTGTAAGTCCTGACACATTTTGCCCAGAAGGCTGAATAAGGAAAATAACGTGCAGATTTGTACATACAGCTGGTGTACATGCTAGGAAAGAAGATACAAGGTGCTGCCAAACTGTCTGCAGCTGTTCTCAGCTGTGTTGTCCTTCCACCAGAGCCCTTCCTCTGCAAGCCCACCTTTCCTGCCCCCAAGCAAAGGGCACCATACCTGGCACACCAATTCACAGAGACGCCTCTGCAGCAGTTCCCATCTCAGGCCATTAGCAGTTGCTATGAAGAGACATTTACAAGTCTAACAGGGCTCCTAACAACTTTATAACAAGCAATCCAATGTTACAGCATCTCTAACTACTCCTTATCCAAATTTACTGGAGTTTGCATTAGACTGGTGAAGCCTGCAACAGCGTTTTCAAAGGAAAAAGAAAACACTGGATATCTTCACCTGCAAATCAAGGGCAAAGCTTCCCCACATCATTAGTGTCAGGATGCCACAGTTCCCTGTGGAAACAGATCCTTCACTTACAACTTGGGGGAGGAGAAATATTTGTCCTTTCCACCTGACATGCTGTACAGAAGTTTTAAAGTCCATGGGCTTTGTATTTAGAAGCATTTTCCCCTCTTACTGTGCAGGTGGGAGGAAGTAGGGGGTGGAACGGGTAGGTGGGCAGGAGACCACAGCCCAGCCCCTCAGTCAGAAGATGCACCAGACCAGTCCGCCTTTCTAAAGGAATCAATATAAAGCATTTTTATTATTTTCTTCAGTGCCAGCCTTGTTTGTCAGTCCTGTTCTTCAAAATGCTTTGCAAATTCTTTACACACCTGTCAGTTTATTTACCTACAGAACGATTTCTGTAAAGTAACTGGAGTAATTTAAAGCCAAGGTCCTAGTAGTTTTCAGGATGGTGGTTCTTTGGGGGTTGACTTTTGCGGGGGGGGGTGGTTGGTTTAGTCACAGTGGCACCAGTCTCACATATCAGTCTCACATATCTGGAGTTCTCCATTGATCTGCTCAAGCTCACTTTGCAGGAGACCTTCATTTATTCAGAGATGGAAAATGACAAACTATTTCCACTGTCATGCCTCTTGCTAAGAGCAAAATAAAGCAGCTGCATGGTTTGTGGGAAGCATGAAAGCACATGAGCACACACACATGAAGACCAAATCACTGGGCAGAGCGGGGCAAGCACAGTTTGGGGCTGTTTCTGCCGTGTCAGTGCAAAGTTGTGCCTTAGAGCTAAAGCAAAGGGTCCCAGGGAGTTTTCCTGGTGAGACAAACTGTGGCTTCACACGGAGTTGTTTGCAGTGCACACATATTTGTTGGGCAGATATGGTAACTGTGTGCCTGAGGGCAAAACATACAGAGGGCTTAAATCAGTCAAATCCCTTTTCTCTAAGAAAGTGATCAGACTCCAGGGTTAGGGAAGAAAAAGGCCATATGCTCTGGATTCAGACCCCCACATTATTTAAATGCCCAGGTTATTGAGGTGCTGATGTCAGGAAGTGAGTCACAAAGAGGCAATATGAAGTTTCCATGGCTCTGTGGCAGAAGTTGCACGTGTACAAGGCAGTGACAGGATTGCTTTCCACTGAAGAGAGCAGCCTAACACCACACAGCTAGTCAAAAACACAGAGCAAGCACAACCAGCAAACAGAGCACAGAATGTACAAAAATCAAGTCTGTTTGGTTCAGGAAGCTTAAGAAAGAGGGATGGCTTTGTTAGGTATAAGGTGGGGAACAGCAGTTTTGGTAAAGCAGTACCTGTGCCATATGTGGAATTACTAATCCCCCTTCCTAGGACTGGGGGTTTTGTTGGGAGCTTCTGAAGCTTTGGTGGATCCCAACACCCACTCCTTAGGATCCCACCTGCTTCTCAGCTCAGATGGTGGCAGATCTCTTCAAGGAGAAGGAAAAGTAGGAAAAAAGGGGGGAAAAAAATCCCAAAACAACAAACAAGACTCCACAGAGCGTTTTACTGGATGACCTGCAGATCAGTCCTATTGTCCCTTGATGTAACTAAACCCTGAAGTACTTGCCCATGCGAAAAGTGAATGCTGGCATATTTCCAGAAGCTACTCACTTTTGTGGTCTTCCACCTTCTCCTGAAGCAGTTGGCAAGTGCTTTCTAAAGCAGCATTCACATCCCTGAGCTTCTGCTGCTCAGAAATGGCTTCCTCCAACTTGCTCTTCAAGGATGCTGCTTCTTCACGAGCAGAGTGAAATGCTTCAGCTTGATCCTCCGCCTAGGCACAAAACAATATTTAGGGAAAAAAGAAAGGAATAAAAAAAAATATAAAATAAAGCAGCCTGGCTAGCACAAGAAGGCTCTACCGTTCATGTAAATGAAACCAAACTGCATCTGTTCTTTCTCAGGAAGTGATAAAGCTCCCTCTGAACTTCTGCATTTTTACGTTGGGGTGGACTGTGTATGGAAACTATTTTTGGGTGCCTTTTTTTTTTCCCCTCTTTTCTCTTTTTTTTTTTTTAAGCCACCACAAATATGCAATGCTGCCTCTTTCATCAGCAAACTGTTGTCACCACCCCCTCAAATTTTACTTCCTCTGCTGGTTCCACTCCTGCAGGGAGGCACAGCATTCGGAACGCGCGATTCCCTTCCCCAGGGCGGCCGCGCGTCGGACGCGGCCCTCGGCATCTCCTGCTGCCCCACACAGAGGGAACTGGGCTGCCCCTTACATGCTTGCTGATATCCTCCAGCTGCTTGCTGGCTTTTTGCAGCTCTAGACACAGGTCCTCTGCCTGGCCACCTGCCAAAGTTTCTTCTAGTAGCTGTTTGGCATTTTCAACCTTGCGCTGGCTGCAGAGCGAGAGAGAGCACAAAGCACAACCCATTAATGACATTTCAGGGCAGGCTGGCCTGGGAGGTGACACCCTCTGGCTGCTGGACACGCACCAAAAGTCAGCTGTCACACACTGCAGCTCCCTAGGACCCAGCACCAGGGAATCAGACATTTTAAAATTTTTTTTTACTGCAGGAAGAGGATGGAGGCTTTCTGTAACATTGCTGGGTACCACAGGGGAATCACCAGAGAACGGGCAAGAAGCAAGAGCTCAGTGGGGCAAGCTTTTGCACTTTGGACAACAATGTGTTTTCTCAGGGTTTGGGAGAAATAGTAGTTGGATATAGAGGCAGTCATCCTAGAAAAAGATACTCGGGAGCTATTACTGCTTCAATGGATTGATTTCTTCACGTTTGAGAGGGAATTTCATTTGACAGCAGGCAGATGCCATCAGAACTGGTGCTAAAGAGGATGGCTTTCAATAAAGCCCTTCTTTTCCACTGCAGAAACCCTTGCCCATTTCCTCTCTAACTCACCTCAGGGCTTTTTTTGGGTGGGGGAGGGAGGGTTTGGGGTTTGTTGTTATTGCTTTCATCACAATTTTGACACAGAGACAGCTTTAAGAAACCAAGCCATCAGTACTTTTATCAGCTCTTTTCCAGGTGGAGGGAGAGCATGTAATGGGTGGTTCAGTGGAAGGCAAGTCAGGCAAAAGTATGGTACAACTGCTCTGCATCAGCTCTCAGGGCTGCCAAGCCCTAGGAACATCCCAAACCCAGGGATGGGGCTTGGAGCAACCGGGGATAGTGGAAGGTGTCCCTGCCCATGGCAGGGTCTTGGAACTGGATGATCTTTAAGGTCTTTTTCAGCCTAGGCCATTTTATGATCCTATTTCTAAGATCACAAGTCACAGAAGGAACCATATGCCAAAAAAGTCACATTTTCATATTCAATGACAACTCATTGAAGCTACACCCCTGGGGAATTGAGATAATGTCTTCCCTGAGCCTAGCAACTGTATCCCAAAGCAAAAATACCTGCAGAGAGATATTTAGCAGCTCTCCTGCTTCACACAATCCCAGCAGGTTTTTTTGAGGGCTACACCTGCTCAATGGGCAGTGCCCTCATGCTTTAACTGCTCAGTCTGTGGTGTCCCTGGTGTTTTCAAAGGCACCTTCAAGGCTGTACATCAGTTCACTCACAAACCTTAACTCCCACACAGTGCAGACCTTGTGCTAAAACCAGACCTACTCTCCAAAACAGAAGACCATTTCCTCTGTGAAAAAAAACTTCAGAATTCAGTAGACTTTGTTCCACTAAAAAACCCACCCCAAAACAAGATACTAAACAGCTAAGCAACTATAAAAAAACCCCCAAAACCAAATCAAACCAATAGAACCACCAAGCCAAAACTCAACCTCCCCTCCCCAAAAAAGAGAGATCCTTTGAAGGAGTACCTAGCAGAGAGTTTTTTCCTTAGGTGAAATTCTTCTGTCTTGGTTCTCCTCAGGTTGTCTGCCACTCGAAGAAAATCCTCCTCTAAGGACTCATTGCATTTTTCCAAAAGTTGGAGTTTCTGGGTCCAAAGATGTCTTTTTTCCCCTAGTTCTTGCTTGAGGGCCTGTGGAATTTTGAAGTTGCCATGTGGTTAGAGGAAGAACAGAGCCAGAGCCTTAATTTACATGGTGAGAATTGAGTTCCCTGCTCCACCAATTAATATCATCACCTACATCCCACACTACCAGAGTAAAGATGAAACTCCACCAGCAAGGTGCCCAGATACAGCAACAAAACCCATAGCTCCTAAGAGAACGTTTTAATAAATATTATCTTGCAGGGAGCTCTCAAACTGATAATTTAGGCTTCTGCAGCCCTTTCCTCAAAGTACAACTGAGTCCACTGAGTCCAAATTGGGTTTGTATTACAGCAAAATTAATGAAATAACCAAGAACCAATAAAACCCGTTTGCTGTACATGCTTAGCAGATGATCTGTGCCAGAGATGACCCCCACCATGAAGGCTTTTAGATTTACCTCTGGTTTGTTGGAGGGAAAAGGGTAAAAATTAAGTGTTAGGTAAGACTGAACTCTCTATTTCTCTCAACAGTGACTTTCAGTATAAAGTCCTGAGAAGAAGAATCCAGTGCTCTCTCTCTGACCTTTTTCAACTGAACACATGAAAGAGTGTCCTCAGCTTTTAAAGAATGCTTAATGAGAGTCAAACAGAGGTCAGGAAAGAATGAAGTTTATATTCCTGGGATTCTGCAGCAATTCCAAGGGGAAAATGTCAATCTTACAAATACAGACCACATTATCTGCTTGCAAGTTGGAGTTTGATGCTCATGAGCTTCAAATAAAAATAAAATAGCACATCAAGCATCATGCTTTAAAAAAGGCAAAAAAAAAAAAAAAAGGCAGCTTTTGCTGATAGGGCTCCTAGGATGACATGGGATGTGACCATGTGCAACTGCCCACATCCTGAGGGTCTGTTCCTCAGCCAAGGCAGGCAGCACTCACTTGTAGAAACACCATAATTTGACACTTAAACAGTATAGGCTTTTCAGAGCGCATGTACCAGTCTTATCTCACAGTAGAAGAGTGAAAAAGATTCTGATGTCACTATATACACTTAGATATATGTATATATGCACACTTCAGGTTGGCTTTATATCTAATATTCTTTAAAATGCTTTTGAAAACACTAAACCCCAGCAAAACATGTCCATAATAAATTTTTTAGGAAGTGGTGGGCAAGGCTTCTGGTGACAACTTTTGTTAAGCAGCCAATTAAACCTTGGACCATGCACTTTCTCTGAGGCTGGAAGAAGCTACTTTGAATCTCCCTCCCCTTTTTTTTTGATCTACTGGTCTTGTGCTGCATGCACAAAATTTCACACATACCTGGCTTGTTCTGTCTGGTGGAGATAATTTTTAACATGAAGTCACTACTCATCCCCCATGGGACCTTTTAATTTTAAAGGATTTTTTTTTTCCTTTCTTGATCCTCTGTTAACTCAATTTCCAAATACATCACTCTTTAGGAGCCAGAGTAAGATTCATTTGCCACAATCAACTCCAACTCCTATACCAAAAGATTTTACCTTCACATGTTTAACAGGAATACGATCCCAATGTGAATGTAACTTCACAAGCCTGTTCAGCTCTGACAGCTTTGCAGGAGGAGGTTTCCAGTCAAGATCAAAAAGCTACAGCAATTCACAAGCCAGCAGTTTGCTAGAGTCTACCCAAAGTCACATCTGGGTGAAGAGAATGAGCGGGCTGCACCTTCTCTAAGGAAAAGGTTTCAGGATTTAGCTGAAATTATAAAAACTCTGGCTCCAGGACTGGATGGCTCCCAGTGGTTGCTCCAGCCCTGCCCAGGAAGGCAGAGGAGGCCCATCTACACCATTGTGCAGCACTTGAGGAAAAAGAAGGGCAGCTTTGTCCCCAAAGAAGCAAAACCTGATGCAGCACATCCCTGGTGGCACCTGCTGTCACCCAAGGGAGAGGAATTGTGGGCTTTGACATCCATTAGGGAACTGGGAAACAGCATTAATGTCCAGCTTGGGCTTGTTGGAGCATTCCTAACAACTGATCAGCAGAAAGGAGCAGGTCAGAGAGAAAGTCACATCCAATGAGATGCATGGAAATGTCAGAAATTGTGCTGTTACAGGGGAGAGGAGGAGGGAACAAAAGTGTTTAGTTGTGTCCACAGGCACTTGCCACTACATAGGGAAGATGCTTTTACCAATTTTTGTTCTGTACCTTGAGCAAAAGTCTGTGCTTGAAGGCTCACCAGAGGTATGAGGAGTAGGAGAAATACATTATGCAAGATTAAGTTGTAAAACAAGGTTTTGTTGAAATTTTTCCTGCAGAATATACCCAGTAAAACCCAAACTCCTCACCTTTCACAACAAATAAACCCTATGGAGGCTTTGATTTGGAAATTTGGTTATAAAGCCTCCTTTGCTTTTTGACCTGGTTTGTCTTTCCTTTCCTTCAAGCAGAGTTTTAACTAAGGGAGCTCTTGCACAATACAAGCCAGCAAGAGCGCAGCATATAAGTGAACAGCAATCATGCTTTTCCTCCTCAGAAAACCCCAGTAAAGATGATATTTCTCTCCATGCAGCCATCTTTGGCCCACAGATGGACTCTATCTCCAGTAATAAACACACAGCATGCAGCAGCAAGATACCCACCTGAAGTTTTTGCACAGCCCCACTGTTTCACTAAATACTTCAGAGAAACAGTTACTCACCACAAGTTTTCTTTCCCAGGCCTGTTCCATGTCCTCATCAGGATCTTCTACCCATTCTAATGAAGCCATGACAAGTTCCTCTGCTTCAGAGATTTCCTTTTGCTGAAAAAGAAAATAAACCCCAAAACAACCTCCCCAAACTCCATGATTTTCAGTGCACATCTACAGCTCTGCCCAGAATTACCCAGGATATAAATTAGTGTTAGAGTAGGTGCCAGGTGATCTTGTTATACTATGACCCCCTCCAATCTCAAACTATTCTTAGTTTCCCAGAAGGAGCAAACAATCTGATTATCAATGCCTGAAGAATTCCTAATTAAATCAAGAATTCCTAATTAAATCAAAGACAGCAATATCCACATAAGCTTTGTTACTGACCAGGTTTTTCATGATGGTCTTGAATTTTTCTCCTGCATATTCAGGCCTCTGAAGCAAAAGCTGCACTTCACGAGCCAGTGTTTCATCCAGGGATGCCTGTTCAGTCCTGATAATCTTTGGAGAGATGGAAGAGCCAGCAAGTTTGTTTTGACATCCCCTTATTGCAAACCAGCAGCAGTGACATTTAGACTTTCCTGAAGTACCTCGGCTCTGTATTTACCAGAAGGTCAGAGCTACCAAAAACTTGAGGCTTGGAAAAACTTTTTCAAAACCATCACATCAACAAGGATTTAAAAAAAAAAAAAAGAAAAGAAAGCAAGCCAGCTAAGCTGCTGAGTGATCCAGTGTAAATATCCCTGCCAGGGCAGGCAAGAGGAAATCAGTAATTAGTTATCTTTATCCAGAGGAGTCGTTACCAAGTGATGAGTAAGCAGAGCCCTTCCTTACAGGTGACTCCACAGAATGTCTCTGCAGCTTTGAAGGGCAAACACAATGACTCACTGGGCTCTGGGGAGCTGCAATATAGGATGATACCTAACTCCTCAAGCTGCCCAGCCAAGCCTACTTCTCCTGAGTCTGAAGTTTTTATCTATTTGTACATTTTTTTTGTTGTTGCTATACGTGCTAACTCTTTGCAAATGCACCTTGCACAGAAGTAAGCAGAAATCACTCAGCAGCATCTCTGCTGTCAGCTGTGCTGCACAGCTTCTATCTGAAAGGAAAGCATCACATAGGGAAGGATGGGACTCCATGGATTGTCCAAGGAAATGGGAACTGAATAGCTCCCCCTAAAATCAGAAACAAAGCCATAATTGTAGCAGGATGCTCTGCCTCAAGTGCTGTAAAACAGCTTCAGCAATACCCTACTTGCAAAAATCGTTAGTGGATTTATAAGGGGGGATCATGCGGCTGTTGGTGATGGAGAGTGCAAAGACCAGCCTGATTCCTTGATCCCAAAATTAAAAATTCTGAGGATGTGAAGAACAACGTTTCCTGCCTCCTGGCACCAGTGAGGCAGTGGCAGGAGGAGCTTCTGACAAGGGACCCATCTGAGCTGGGCCTGGAAAGATCTGACAGTCAATCACTTTAGACCATAAAAACCCAGCCCCGCTTTTTAAAGTCAGGGCTTCTGACACACCCCTTCTAGCAGGGTGTGTGTGGAGATCCCTCCCTCAAGTGGGCACACGCCCTCAAAGTTACTCCTCAAAGCTGAACAAAAGATTTGTCCATGATCATCAACATGGGTAAGTAATAACAAACTCTATTTAACAATTATTAGCTTGGAAATTATTGGTTTAATAGCTAGTGCACTATGTAAGTAGTCATAAGTAAATAATTCTGATTAAGGTATTTTAGTCTAATAATGGTCTTCTATTTACATAAAAAACTTATTCTATTCATTTAAATATATTTGGTCTGCCATCAGAGATGCTTATCAGAGTTTCTTAACAGTACATTAGATTAGGACCCAACAACTTTATCAAGATGCTCACTCTAATGCTGAATTTCCTTTCTCACTACAGTCAACTTCAAAGAAAAAGAAGTCTCCTCTTTCACAAGTGAAAAAGGCTCATTGTTCATGTCTGGTGTAGGCAGCACAAGAAGCAGACTGTCATTTACTTTCTGCAGCATAAAAGCCTTCATATATTGGAAAAACTGATATCTTCTCCCATCTATCTGCTCTTCTGCCAGCTAAATGCATGACCCAAGCTCCTCCAGATTTCCTGGGTAGAGCAGAGGGGGGTTGGAACTGGATGATCTTTAAGGTTCCTTCCAACCCAGGCCATTCTAGGAAACTATGAGCAAATATTTTATATCTACAAGCATTTCGTTTGCTATTCTTTGGACTTTCTCCAAGGTGCTTGGAACAATATTGCAACCTTCTCACTCTGTGTTTACATGCTAGGATTTATGGCTTCAAATTCCAGAGTTATCTAATCATATACAGGCAATGAGCTTTGTTCTGCCTCTGCTGATGCAAGACAACTAGGAAGAGATTAAATTAAGGTTTAATCCATACCTCAGAAAACTCTGCAAGCTCCAGTTCACAGTGCAGTGTGCTTGTCCCTTCAGGAATATTGCTGTTAAATTTATACAATAATGGTAAACTCAACCCATGCCTAGAAGAAGCAGGAAAAAAAATACATATCAGTCTATTTTGGATTTCTGATGAACTGCCTTTCCTGGGATTTGGCCACAGTACTCACGAGATCAGCTCTTGCTGCATGTGTTGGATGTTCTCCAGCAGTTTATTTTTTTCAGCTCTCAGTGTCTGAAACATCCATGGAGTTTGGTGAGAGGCTGACTTTACCATGCACAATCAGCACAGGCCAAACCCAACCCAGCCCATACCTCTATGATTGAGGAATACTCCACAATTGTTAACTTGAGTTCCTTGATGTCCTGCTCCTTCTGCAGAGATTGTTGAGACAAGAACAACAAAAAATTATATTCCATCCTACATCACAGCAATAAAATGTATGGTTTAGCTTGAGCAGCAACCTGATCATGACACAACAATAGTTGTGAATTTCAAAGAATACAAGAAGTTACCTTGAATTTTAACTAATAGAAAGCACTCAGATGACCTTTCCTACCTAAACTCTGAAATTAAGGAGACAAACCCTCTTTTCCAAGTGTTGTACTTTCACATATTACTCACCTGGTTTCAGGTCCGACAGATTAAACTGGACAGAAATACTCTAGTTTTAACTTAAAATATGACCTATATTATATGCCAGCATAAGTTTTAACCCCAACTGACCCTTCAAGCAAGTTGCAATGTTTCAAGTTCACTTGTTTTTCATTATTAGAGTGTAGCACCCTGTAGATTAAACACAACCCAGCAGAAAGGCTGAAAAAGAGCCAGCCCTCATGGTAGGATTAAAGAATTAGAGGAAGCATCACCTTTCTTAGCAACTAGCAATTAGCTCCAGTCAGGTTATGCCATTCCAATAAAAGACACTGCACAGACAGCAGAGACTTTATAAGAGAAAATAGGAAATTAGAGTAGGAGCTCTTGTCCTCTCTCACTTTTATGAGTTCTTCCTACTCTCTCTTTAAAAATCATTGAGGTTTTAGAAAGAGATAAAGTGCACAGAAAGCTAGGCAGGAAAAGTGAGGTTATAGAACCAGTTTCCACCCCAGTTTCTTCAAAATTATTCTAACCACTCACATTTATCTGCATGTAATCTAGCAGTCTACTTGCAAAATTCCCATTTAGTCAATAGATTAGGAGAATCTTGTTGAAATAAAATGATACTACAAAGCTCACAAAAGCTTTGAATCATTCAAGTAGGAGAAAGTGAAAGCTACTTAAAAAAAAAAAAAAAGATTTCAATAAATTTGTGTCCTTAAGCTGTGTCTGGAAAAACAACCAACCAAACCAAAACTATTAAAGCACTCGATACAAAGTTATCGGCTGGATCACGCTCCAGTTCTCTTTTTTACTATTTGAATTCACCCGCAGTCACTTTGCAGGGAGCCCAATAGTCAAATATTTTAGCAGAACATGCTATAAATCTCCTGATAAGTAGAAACTCCACTGGCATAGAAAGCTCTTTGCATAATTCATGAATCCAGAGAATGCCAGCACATTTGTATGGTCTTCTAGCTTTATTTTCTAGTATAAAATGCGTGTTTAAAAACATCTGAAATATTCACTCCTCAGTAAAGCCTAGATAATTGCACCTCAGCAATAAAATGACAAATTTCCTTTTCCATTGGGCTCCAAGTCACAATTTCTAATTTGACGCAAACAATTTCAATAAAAGACATGAAGGGAAAGGCCTTCTGTACTCCCTGCTGAACAAGTAGCCTTTAGAAGTTTCTGGACATAGCGTCTGAAGTTTGCAAGTTTGTTTTAATAGGTTTTGACTAAAAAAAAAAAAAAAAAGCAAGCAAAATCCTGAAACCTTTAATTATGCTGACTCATAGGCAGGTCCTAAATAGAGCTCGCCTACTTTGAAGCCATTTATAGGATCAGGTTCTGCAGTGGGAGAAGAGTAGAAATCAAAGAGCCACAGTGAATACTACTGCCTTGCCTTTTTACAAATCTTCCCATCAGTACAGACCAGAAACCTGGGCCAGGGGAATGGGGCTGGAACAAGGTATCATTAAGGTCTGTTGCAACCCAAATTATTCTGTGACTGTGTGGTTTTCAGTCAGTACTGAAGTAAAAGCAACTAACCTGGGTTAAGCTTGCCTCTTTATTTGCCACAGTGCTTTCATAGATACGGGCTTGGATCTGCAGAATGAAAAGATCAAAAGTAAACCCAGCCATCATTACAGACCACAATAAAAGTCCGTTCCTATTTCCTACTAGGAAGGGAAAAAGAATATCAATGTTCCTTACTTAGAAAAACCAAATTCTTCTTTGAATACCTTGTGTGGTGTTTGCTTCAAAGTACAGATCTTGTACCCAGCAAAGAGTGAAAGCATTCTTAACTTCCAGTCACTTTTGTTTCCTCTCATCTGTCCAGGCCAATATTTTCAGCAACACCTCTCAAAGCATGACCTTAATGTATTTTCTTGAATAGTGATGGAAAGGTATCCAAAAAAAGTTTAACTTGGAGGAAATAATGAAACTGTGGATTGTTTCCATCAGCCTAGTTTTTAGCCTCCAGACAGGAACTTCCTTGGTGAAAGCTGTCACAATCTCCAAGCTGCTAACTCACTGCAGTCCTTCAACACAGAGGTTCAGGACTGTTTGCCTTCCAGCAGCAGAAATCCCCCCTTCGCTAGACCCAAGTAAAACCCAGGTTGACTTTTTATTCCTCTTGTTTTGAAATGCTTACTTGAAGCTTTGAAATGCTTACTTGAAGCTCTGCTGCATTTTTAGACAGCTCCGAAATCTTCTTTTGCAGCCCATTGGTGTCCATGCTATTCCTAATAATCTAAACAAGACAGAGTGTTTAGGCACAGCTGAGTGGATTGACAGCTTCTCCTTGAAGAAACCAGACAAAAATGACATCTCCACCCCTAAGCTGCTGCCTACTCTCAAGCATTACCAGCATTTGTGCACATACATTGCATGTGTTTGTCCCACCAAAACTGCTTCTGCTTCTTTTCCCACCCAGAGCACCAGTAAGAGAGAAAACGCCTCAAAATGTGATTTATAACCACTGCCAGACCCAGAGAGCTAAAGAAAAATCAGCCCTGCAGCATGAGAATTGTTTTCAGAAAATTGTGGTTTAATAGATATTTGGACTAAGGGGCTTTGTAGATAGACTGATCTGAAGGTGCTGGTTTTCTTTATTATCTTTTATTTAACCTGTTTCTCCATTTCCCCCTGAAAAGTCTGAAATACAGTCTGTAAGCAAGCATTAAAAAACTATCACCTGACAAAAATTGCTTTATAAAATAGTTGCTCTGATGCAGTTAAAAAAAAAAACAACAACAAAACAGAAGGAATGAACAGCTCTTCTCTGAGTAAAAAACAAGCTTAGGGATTCTCTGCTTATGGAGCTGCATTCCCTAAAAGCCTCCTGTAGGTCCTTGGCCAGTGTCAATGGATCCATCTGTGATGGGAGATTCCATCCACTGCATTTTTTTTATTATTTTTGTTACTTATTTTTGGTGTTACAGCTCTATACAAGATTACTCCTTTGGATTTAAGGGAGGAAAAGAGAAGTGAATATGAAAGGATAAAGTGTTGGATGGAGATTGCTTCAATATAGAGTTTGTCTGTTTATAGCTGTGGGAACCAGAAATACATAGAATTTGCCTATAAATCTTGGAAAAATAGGTGGTGGTAGAAGTAGTTTGTCTGTCCCTATGCTTCCCTAACCCCATATCCTTACTCACCCAGCAAGTAGAAAATAAAAAGCACAGTGCAACCTCAAGATATAAAGTTTTATGACAAATCAGCCTTTTAAAGTGTTAGATATTTTGATAACCTAATTAGCATGCAAGGCTTCAAAGTATGACCAACATTTTATTTCTTAATGGCAAGAACATGTCAAATTATTTGTTTTACCTCTTCCTGGAGAGAAGTAACTTTGATGTTGAGAGACCGATTTTCTTTTTCCTGATCAAGTTTATGGGAAAAAACAAACAAACACAGAAAAAGAAAAACAGAAGAATTGGTTTTAGCATGTAAGCAGCAGATCACAAACACATCCACAGCTGTGGTGTTGAATCCCTTTGTTTCAGAGAACACACAAACAGGGGGGAGCTGAGGCTGGTGCAGCTCATGAGCCTTCACCAAGGCACAGAGAAGGTCTTACTTTTGATTTTTAACAGCCTGAGCAGCCACACCACTGTTACAGCAAGGCGTGAGGTGCTGCACAAGGGAAACAAGGAAGAGCACCTACTAGCTGTCTGTTGTGGCAGAGAATCTGTTTTCTTTCCTCTTCTGCCACGTTCAGGTTGTTTCTTGCTTCCTCTAGCTCTTCTTCCAGGGATTTGATTTTCAACACAGAGTGCTGGAGGCTGCACAAGGGGAAGCAAAGCCACAGAAAATTCAGCCAGGTAACGTTGGTTCTTTAGATAGGCTGAAAACAGTATTTTTAGAAGCCACCAAAAAATAAGAAGGACCTATTTTTTGGCATGACATGTAACAGAAGAGCAACAATGAAGCTTAAGCCATAATTTCTATCCAGGAAGCAAATCTCATGGTTTTACTTCCTTTTTATCACCCTCTTCCAGTCTTACAGTGAGGGATGAAACCCCATCCAAGACAGGTGGATGCAAACAAAGCCATGTTAAATTTGTTAAAAAATTTAGCTCATTACAGTTAAATATAGCAGGTAACCTGAGCACAAATTCATCTTTGCAGCACTTCACGGCTTATAGTTGGAGAAACCATTTCAATTCAGCATTCAAGATCACAGCTCTGCCCATGGCAGGCCTGGGGCCAGAGTCCCCTACCTTTTTAATTGTTGACATAGATGCTCATTATCTGCCAGGAGCTTGCTGTTGGTCTCATCCAAAGCTTCCAGGGTGAGCTTCAGCTTGTTGTTCTCCTCCTGAAGCTTCTGGTTGTTGTACTGCAGGTCCGCAAGGCAGGTTATCAAGTCAGAGGTCTCCCTGTCCCGGTGAAAAAGCCAGGCAAGAGTGAGAAAGGTGATTTCATCTACTTTAGACCTTTAAAGCATCTTAGTGCACTGATTAGGGGAGAGATGAGAGCCCACAGAGGACTTGTGATGCTGCAGTGTCCAGTCATTTGCTCTGCACAGAGATAACAGGGCAGCTCTAAGTCTGTTCTCCAGTTCTATGGGTATCAAGAACTTTTGGTTTTAAGCATTTTTCTGCTCCCTACAACTGGGGTTTGCAGTCAAAAAGTGCCACAGCTGGATGTCTGCATGAGAGTGCTTTAAGATTTTGCTAATCACCTCATCACTAGTAATGCTTCTGTATTCACTCTGCAATTTCTGGGTCCTTTCTTTTCCCCCAAGCCATCCCCCACCTTATGCTTTCAACCAAAACTTCAATGAGAATCATTCTTTTGAGATCCTGAAAAATTATAGGGAAGCTTTAGAGAGCAGATGTTGGATTTCTGCCCAGGCATAAACTCCAAATGAAACTTCTGCTCCTTGTTAAGTGCTTTGCCATTAACAGTCCAAATCGCAGACTTCATTTCTACTACTACCTAAAAAACCCAAAAAACCAAAAACCCACCCCAACAACAACAGAAAAACACCACCTCAACAAACTCCCTGTCATAAGAAAAACAGCTCCAAACAGAATGCAAGATCAGACTTTTAGGTCATAATGTCTTCTTATCATCAGACAACTAAGAATTTGGTGGAGGGAAGGAACCTGTTTAAATAGGGAAGGACATGACAAACATCTGACCACAGATTAAAAAGGCAAATGGACACAGAAGCACCAAGATATAAGTAGGATAAAACACCGGTTGTCTTTCAAGTCTGAGCAGAAGAAAATGACAGCATCAAGAGCTCCAGCAGACTGAGGTGAGCATTAAAATCCCCAAGGGCTCCAAGTTTCAAAATAAGGGCTCTTGGAATTTCTGTCAAGTGGTTTAAAGCCAGGAGTACTATATTCTGAGAAAGAATTTCTTAAATGGACTCACATGTCTCCTTTAGACACATCACCTCCAAAGGCCTCCAGGCTTCCTGAGGTAACATTCATCTGAACAAGTGACTTGTCGGCTGAAAGAGGTAAGGGCTTTGGTTATAGAGTAAGAAAGTGGAACTTTCCTGAACAGAAACAGAGTAAAACATTCTGCACCTTTAGAGATGTTTTTAGGTACTTGAGATTCCGGGTCTTCCATGCTTGATGATGATTTCTCAGTAGCACCTTCTTCCCTGAAGGAAGGGAGCATCAAGGGTCACAAAATCAGCAGGACACCAGGCTGCTTACCAACTTTGTAACACTTACAAAACTTCAGCCAAACCCAATGTCCAATGTTGTGGACATGGTATCCAAATACCACTTTCTTTCCAGAGCCACAGGGAAAGCTTGTTACATCTTTTTTTCCACAGAAGACTTATTTATCAAAATGCTGTTACCATTTTCTGTTACGGTCTTCAATCCACTCTCCCATGACGGCATGGTAGGTTTCCAGGTCCATGGAGATATCTTTGCGCTCTGGGTCAAGCTTGTTGCAGAGCTCCTCAAGACCACTGTCCTCTGAGTCCCAGCTGGTCGTATGTCTTAAATAATTGATTATCTCAGACACTGCCACTTTCCCTAAGGCAGAAACAGAGGTCAAATGCCAAAGCCTGGCAAGGCACCGTAAAAATACTGTGAAAGGCCACGCTACAGAACTGCATTGGATCCAACTGCCCTCAAGAGCTGCAGACAAGCAACTGATTCCTGAACTGAGCTAGAGAGAGATCTGGAAAAAAAAAGCAGTGTAGAGCTCTTTTGTTGGTTGAGATTTTTTTTCCTGTAGTGGTGGGTTTTTGGTTTTTTTTCTGTGTAAAAATCCAGTTTACTAGTTTTGTGGACTTCAGTTTAAGAAGAAAAAAGTTGACACAAGATACTGATCCTTGCTCTCAGGGCCAGGCTTGATGGGGCTCTTGGCAACCTGGGATAAGGGAAGGTGTCCCTGCCCATTGCAGAGGGATGAAATTTGAGGATCTTTAAGGTCCCTTCCAACCCAAACCATTCCATGATTAGGCACCATGCAAAAGAGGTACAGACATTTACACATTTATTCTACATCTGCCACAGCACAGGCACCTACACATATCAGAGCCTGGCATCTCTCAGGGACCAAAACAAGGTCTGAACCTGGGAAATCCATTGAGAGTAGAACAAAAGAGCAATGAAAAAACCCTGGCAAACCTGTGTGGTGGCTGTCACATGCCCAGAAGATGGTGGTCAGCAGGTTCTCGTCACAGATCAAGCTCATGTTGCACATACTGTCACCTTTGTACCACACAGGCTGCTTCTTTCCTGTGAAGAATAAATCTCTTATTGCCCATCTTTATTTGCTCATAGCAGCTTTCATTCCAGATGACTGAAACAACAAAACCAGCTAACCAGCTTCCCTGCCAATAAAAGCAGAGCTTTTAGCACTAAACAACAGGATCTGGTCACAGCTGGGGCCTCTGACCTGGGAAGTATTCCATGCATCTACTTATACACATGTTTTTTTGGAAAAACTTGGTTATTCTTTCTATGGCATAAACATATGAAACAGGACATTTTAAGAACCCAAGTATTTCTTCCCCCCCCCCCTCCAGATACATTGTAGAGAAATCATTAAGTTATTAAGAAAACAATCCCTAAAACAAACAAAACCCCCCCCAAAACCACAAAAAAAACCACTCCAAACTAAGAGCAAAACCCAAACTCCTGTATCTTCAAAAATCAGTCTGAGAGACAAAGCATAGACTAAATTAAAAGCCAAATAAAATTTGGCTATCAAAAATAAAAAGTTATAGTACTAGTCAAATAGTAGTCTCAATCTCTTAAACTTAAAAAAAAAATTATGTCTTGAATCAAAAATGAAAGAACAAATCTGAAAAAAGTTTTTGCCTTATTAATTACTCTCTTTTTACACTCACATTTTTTAGAGAAAATAGAAGATTTGCCTCAGCTCTTTTTGCAGTCTTATAAGATTTGAGTCCTACTAAAATGTGTTTTACCACTTTAAGTGGTAAATAAATGTCATCTACATAGACTGAATGTTCAGATGTCTAGAATTAGGGGGTGTTTTTCTCCAGTATTTTTACCTCTTTCACTGGAAGGAAATGCCCTTGGCACAGGAAGCTGGACCACAGCACTTCCTGGCTTTTTTTCCGATGTGAAGAAGCATAAATTGGGACTTGACGTCAGATACATCTGCTTGGGCCACACATCCCGGGGCTCGGCATTTGCTGAAGCGCACGGCCTGCCCTGGGCATTGGCCTCCCTGGCTCCACAGGGGAACGGAGAAGAGCTCTCCACGGGAGAGGAAGGCGCCCAGGAGCTGCTGGATCTCCCGCTGGCCTCCAGCATGGAGAAGGTTCTGTTTGCAGTCTGGTGCCTGGAGCAGGCCCCGAGGCCTGGCGAGGGCATGGAGAAAACGCCGCCACCGCCGGCCAAGGGCGAGCAAGTGCTCCCACCACTACTGCAGCTTCTCCCCTTCAGTATTTCTTCCAGATTTTTTTTAATGTTGCTCTGTGGGCTATCAAAGTTCTGGGACTGAAATTTTGGTATCTGCAAGGCCGGGTTGGAGACTTGGTCCATCATTTGGATGGATTTGATCTTCCTGCAGATGCTGTCCACTGGGTTGTGGCGCTGTTTCTTAGCTCCACGTTTAAAAGACTTCATCACTTCCCTTTTCTTGACAAATATCTGGAAAGAAAAGGCACAAGATACGAGAGTCAGGGTGATCAACACACACATATTTATGCCAACTTTTCCATTCAGCAGCCAGCTTGGAGCTTTGGCATCCAGGGGTTTGGAAACCCTCATTCCACTTATCAGCTCCAACAGAAACCTTCAGTCAGGACATTTTAGTGTCCAGGGAACTAGAAGCTGATTTGGAAATGTTGGGGAAGAAAGACAGAAATACTTCCTGAAATGTCACTGCTTATTCTTAAATACCATAACCGTGGCAGGGAGATATGGGGGAATGTAAATAAAAATTGAAGAACACCCTGCAAATTAGCAGAGGACTTTTTAAATTAAAAGAAACATTTTTATTGTACTGGGGGGTGGCAGGGGTGAGGCAGAAAATGTGAGACCAACAAGACTTTCTGTGTTTCTGTGAGCCTATGAGACCAAAAAACCTCCAAAACCCAGTGTTCCTTTTACTAAGCAGCCACAGCTGTCATCGTGCCACACTGGGAATTACACAAGAAATGTGCCCTACAGAGGCACCTCATCCTGTGTGTATTTTTATTATCTAGTCTCCCAGGCAACATTTAAAAGGTATTTCCTACAAGATAAGCATGTTTGCATGTGACTAAGGAATGGGAGGTTCATTTTGCAGGGATAAATCCTCATTCCCAGTGAGGTTCCCATGTCTACATTGCAACCACCTGAACTGATCAGCTGGGAGCTATATTATTAAATAATAATAACATACCAAATGAAGCTAGGTGAAGCTCTCAAGAATCAAATTTTAAGTCATCTTTTAATGTAGAAAAATTAATTCCTTTCCCCCAAAACAGCAGCAGGTTTCACTAGCACTTAACACTTACATAATCTTTTGAAGCAGAGAATAAAATTTATATATAAGTATTTATTAATATAGATTGAAAAAAACCCCCATAAATACTAAGTGTTTAATTTAAGCTAGTTTATTACAGACTGCCTGCATGGCAGCAACTTAGTTTATATAAGCAGAGGCAAGATCTTTAAATTTATTTTTCTAGTGTTTTCACAAGTAGTAGCATTTACTCTAATGAACATGTCCTTAGCCACAGGAGTACTTCAAAAAATAAGAATAAAAAGAAGCTCAGAGCAATTTTATAGAAGAGTCTACTTTTGAGCTATGTCTCAGTTAAAATATTTACTCCTCAAATAAATGCCAGGAAGCAAAAGCAATCTTCTGTATTGCATCATTACAGATGTATTATCTCTAAAGAGATAGATGAATTACCTTGAAATTAAAATTTAAATACCCTGCAATTAGTTTAGGACTTCTTTTAAGCACACAAGTGCCCTCAAGCAGATATAAGTAACACTATATTAAAGAGTATTAGATTTTTTTTTCTGTAATATACCAGTAATAAAAATAACCAAAACAAACAACAAAAAACACACCCCAAGACCTTATACTTTACACCAGCACGTGGAAAAAGAGCTTCTCTTCCTTCTCTGAAGGAGACAGCGCAGCTGCTTCAGCTCTTCCTCTGAGGAACAGGAGCTGCCTGAACCTCAGCGTTTAAATAAGCAGGAAAATCAGCTTTACAAGGTACAGGTGCTGCCACTCAGCCCTCAGCTGAGAGTGACCACCAGCTGCAACCAGGCTCCAATCAAGCTTCAGGCTCCTGTCCTGGCCTTTTTACCTTTTTTCCCCTCATATCTCTCCTGCTGCTGTTAAATTAACTGCCTGTAATTTCAGTGCAACTTGAAGTCTCCCTGCTCTTCGAATTATTGTTCAAAACAGCAAGGAATGTTGTGATATGGTTATTGCTGTGTCAAAACTCTGGTTCCTGGGGTGTTTCTCACTTCTATTAGCAGTTCTTTCCTGCTCTTCCCACCTACAGCAAAATTTCAAGCAGGAGCAGATCTCTCCTAGTTTCTGAGAGTTAGAACAGGGTATCTGTATAAATTTCATCACTCTCACCACTTTTGAAAAGAAGAAAGTGTTGAAGTCTCTTGAGCTGATAGTGTACTAAATAGTCTCTCTGTTAACTGTCATCTCTGCCCTTAGTTCTGTGAAAAAAAAAAATTCATTAGGACACTTAACTAATTACTTTTTTTGTATTAAGTTATCAAGACATGCAGTAGAGCGTGCCTGTCTGAAGAGCTCTATGGCTCCTGCTGAATTACCCTGGAAATGCCCATTCTTTGATGGCCATGTCTCCTTTCCAGCCTGCAGACTGGAGAAAACTGTTTTTCAGGTGGTCTTTTCACCTGGTGTTTGCCTCAGACTTGTCCATTGCTCAGAAAAAAACTGTTGTGCCATCCCATCAGTGGTTCCCTGAACTTCAGAAGCAACACCTCTTTCTGAGATGCTTACACCTTTCAAAAATTTGTGGATTTCTGCTCTTTCCTGATGCTTTCAAACACCCCTCATGCCACACAATATATTTAAATTCTACTTGTAATTATCCCTTGAAGCTGCTTCTCTTTCACAAACACACTTGTGAGAACAGTAGAACCTGGCTGCAGCATTGGTCACACTTTGGTCCTCAGCAAAGTCCCTGTTGCCTCTCTTGAGTGAGACATTTGCATCATCTCTGACAGACTGTGTTTTCTACACCTTGTTCTCTACTTCAAGAGGTTTTAGCACAGTTTTCTCATACAGTCCAGAGAAAAGACAAAAAGCTTCTCCAGCAAATCTGCAGTGCTTGAAATGCACCCACAGACACCATGGTGCTGAATGTGCAACAGAATAGTTAAATAAATTTGGGCCAGCAACTGATGGCCTCTAATCATGCACCTGGCTTACACCAGAGAGCATCTCTTCACTTCAGAGCTGCACATAAAAATTCACCTTCCCAGAGAAGTTGAAGACATCCCTACTTATTGTAGGGGGGTGGACTAGATGACTTTTAAAGGTGTCTTCCAACCCAAACTACTCCATGGTTCTGTACATTAAGGTCTGTTATGAAAATAAATAACACTGAAAAACATGTTTGTGTGGCATAAAATGTATTGATGGATTGCAAATTGGATTGTTTTGGTCAACGGGTTTTACAGGGCAAATACACAAATTTGTACACAAATTTCCCCTTAGTCTGAGTGGGATATGTGGAGTTAAAATCCAGAATCAGCTTTGAAAGATTACAGAAACACAAAAAACAGCCCAAAAAGAAGAGGTCATATGGTTCATAACCATGTGTCTGGGCAGGATCAGTTGGGCAATGACTCCTGAAAAAGGATTGTCTAATCTATTCTCTGAGTTTCTCAGTGATAACAAATCAACATACTTCCAGGGCAATCTATATTTGACTTTGCTACTGGTAGAAAGCTTGCCTTACTCTGCAACTTACTGCAAATGAAATGCAACATGCTTTGTAATTTCCTACTTTGCAGGCTCTGCCATGACATTTCACAGCCTTTTATGAGGCTGCAGTGGCATTTAGGAGCCAGAAGTACACTGTGCTAGGTGCTGCTCAGCTGCCAGACACAAGTGAGATGGATTTCCCAGAGAGTTACCAAACTAACAGGAAAAAAAATCCCAAAGGAAATGAGAATAAGCGCAAAGCAAAGGTCATAAGTTCTGGGAGATTTGTACCTTGACAGCACCAGTGTTTGCTGATGTTCCCAGTGACCACCTACACCCCAGCTGCACCTTTTCCTCAGGAGCAATCCATGGGTCACTGCTGCCCTTATCAGGATACAACACTATCCTTTATTTCCTGGGAAATATTTGGGAAGGTGCATGGTCGTGATGCAAGTCAGTGAGGTAAAATTGGTTAAAATTCCAGCACATGAGAACATTTTCCCCTCACCTCAGAACTGAACTTCAATGCCAGAAATCAGATCCGTATCACTTAGAGCGTCAGGATATGCAGCTTGTGCCCTTTAGATCATCTCGAAAAATAAGAATAGGTTATGTTCTTTCTAATAAGGGGTCCTGCTGCTATAGCAAGCTTCCCTCTACTTTTCTCTCTCAGGGTATTGATTACATGCCAGAGGCACTTCCTCCTCCAGGTGAATCAGCTGAGAAATGGCAGCGCTGCCAATGAGTGTTGGGTGCACAGCTCATCATCCCAAAGTGCCACAGCTTTTTGTGTGTTATGATCCATGACCCAATTATAGGCTGCTTCGTCTTTCCAGAGTACAAGCTCACATGTGCCCACACAGAGCCACAGCTCTTTTGTGAGTGCAAACACTCTCAGCACCTGCACAGCTCTTTTGTGAATGCAAAGTGCTTGGATTTATGGGAAGGGTGAGATGGCCACCTTTTCATAGAATCATGGTAAGAAAAAGCTTTGAAGGGGGAAGCCAATTTTCTTAAATTTTGATCCCTGAAGTAGAATTGATGAACCTGGAGTTCTTTGTTCTGCAAGCAGACTCCTTACAGATTTCCAAGGAGAAGGTTCTGAAATACACTTTTGTTTGAAAACCAAAGCAACTTGGAGTCACTGGTCATAGAAAAAAATAAATGGATTTAGAACTATAAGTCATAAAGGCACAGACAATTTAAGGGAAAAATAAAAACCATTGGAAAATAAAAAAAAAAATCCCAAAGCCCCAAACCATTATGAAAATGCAATTTGAGGTTGGGTTCATTTCATCTGATGTGAAAGGTCAAGGTCAATTGTCTCTAGCTACAGTTTATAACTAAACTCCTGACTTTTATACGCCACGGTGGCACTGAGGCATCGGAAGGTACAACAATGAAACCATTTAATTTAAAATGATGCTGTCAAGATACTGCTTTTGTTCTTGAGCTGGTGGTCACCTGTCCCCATAACGAGGCAGTTCAGATTTTGATCTGCTCAGTTCAGCTCCCTGCTGCCCTTCAGGCAGCTCCAAACAAGCCCAAATCTCTACAGGGATTCCCGTGGGACTCAGAATACAGCCAGGTTTGGAAGAGAGACTGAGACTCTAGCAACACCAAGTCAGTGTCACTCAGATTTTGCCAAATGGTCACAAGAAGAACCGAAGCTGTTTTCCTCCAGCGTGGTGACATCTTTCTCCATGCCCTCCGTTGTCCTCCTCTTCCCAGCTGCAACGGGAGGGGCTGAGCTGCTTTGCCCCCCTGCTGCTTTTGGGTTATCTTGTCTCATTCCAGCAGCAGGAAAAGCAGGGAAAGCAGGGTTTCTTTTCAGTGCCAGACACATTTCCTACCACGAGGAGAACCCTCCTGAAGAGATCATACTACACACTGCCATCAAAAAATGGCAAGGGGTTAATTTTCACAGGCTCAGCTGAAAGTTTTGATTCCAGCCCCGTGGTCTATGGATAACAGGAAGGTCTGAAGTCACTCCAGAAGGCAATAGGGGAGTAGCTTTACCTTTTCCAAGCCTCTGCATGCTAAATGTCTCCTGGATGAAGTGCACTGTCTCCTTCTAAGGCCAGGGGTTAAGCATCGTCAAGAAATGTCTCTGATCTGTCAGAGCACAGGGAAAAGAGCAGGGAAAAGAAACTTCACAAGTGAAGTAGATGCAAGTAGAATCCCTTCTGCTAGGATGCATCAGGGCATGGCCTTTTAAAAAGGGTAACAGCAGCTCCCAGCCACCACAGGAGCTGCTTGAGACCAAAACCTGAACTTCCCCCTGGTTTCTTGCCTCTACACCAGCACAAGCTGCAGCTGGTGGCAGTGCTGTATATTCAGTGAGCAATTCTGGTGGCATGACCAGGGAACAGAGTGATACCCCCCAAAAGCTGGACAGCAATTGCACCTTCACTTAACAATGTGCTTTGGAGCAGTGTCCACAGACGCACAGTGGCAGGGAGGAGTTCACAGCGAGCAGCAGCAGTGCCTGTCTGCATACTTCTTCAACTCCACATCCATGAGCCAGTGTTTGTCACACACATGGCCTAACCTGGATTTTTGTCACACCACGGGCTGGCCCTGTTCATGAGGCTGCTGCAGTAAACTTTCCATTGGCCAGTCTTCCAATCAGTAAATTTCTACCTTCCTGTTTGCTTTGCTTCTCCTTCTGCTTCCATCAAGTTTACAAAGGAAAAAGTACAGGAGGAGAGATGAAAACCCTGGCTGCAGGGCAAGCAAGGCCAGGCATCCAGTGTGATTAACTCTTTGCCTGAGGACCAAAGCAACCCTCCATGACTGCAATGAGCCCAACAATCACCCAGAAGTAGCTCATGGAAATTACTTCCCTGATCCCTGCCTTTTTTCTGTTCACTGCTCCACTGTTTAACCTATTCAAGCCCATGAGCTGGACTTTTACTCCAGCCAATCCATGGGACAGAAAAGTGTTTCTGACTATTAGGACTTCAGGATTTATAGGGTAATTTGGGTATTTTTTGTTATTGCTGTTGTCAAGCTTTATACTTGTGTGCAAGAAAACTAGATGCAAAAGATCATCAAAGAATCAAACCACAGACTACATCCTCTGAATGTATGCAAGGGATAACTTCAGGCTAGTGACACTGGGTAAGTCACTTCTCTCTTGATGCTGGTGAGTAATTTACCAGCTTTTCCAGCTCCCACAATGGATGCTAATCTGATCTATTGTAGATTATCCTGGGTAAACTCTCAGCATCCATATTAATACCCACTCTGGCTGTGATTATTGATCATGCAGCAGGAAGGTGAGTGGTGCAAACGCACAGGGCTGGTGCTGATGTATTCAGGAGGTGTTCACCTGTTTAATGGGGTGCATCTCCAAGTGCATCCATCCTTCAATCATTTCAATCAGGACTTCCTGCAAGGCTGCAGGTTTCCCTCAGGAGTCATCAGACCTTCTGCTTCTCCATCTACAGGGCTGACAAGAGATCCCTTCAGACTCCCCCACCCGCCACGGAAGGGGAGGGCATCTCCACTCTGAAGATTTAAAAAGGGACCCCTGGCCATGTACAAAGGAGATCTTGTGACACATCATCCCAAGGAAAGAAGACTGAAGGTTTGTCACCGAGATAAGTATGAAGGTAAGTGAGAATTTTTTGGTCTTTAGCAAACATTTACTTTGCAATTAATGCTTTCTTTTTCATGTGAGTGCAATATTTATGAACTGTAGGGGGGCTTAAGAAATTTTCCTTAAAAATAACCCAAAAGAAATACACACATAGATATATTATATAGATTTTAAACAACTGTATTAAAAATACACCAATAGTACAACCTCTCAAACCCAGGATGAAACAAACAGTTAGATTCCCTGGTGCCCATCACTGTTACCAATACATGAATAACAACATGCTCTGTGCGAACAAGCAGAAGTGCAACTTGTGCACAAAGGATTCATGCTCAATGCTTCCATTTGCATGTGCTGCACCAGTGAACAACCTCCAAGAATCAAAAAAAACTTGTCTTGTGACTTGTTTTAATCATGGTTGATATTGATAGGATGCTAAATTTAAAACAATTTTTTCCTTTTTTTTTTTAACCTGGGGAAGTAGAGATTTTGTTTCTTGGTTGGTTTGTTTGTTTGGAATGACAAGCCCCCTACATTTGTTTGTTGTCTATGGTTTGGTAAAATCAAGATAGATTTTATACCATCTTTACCCATTAGTTTGTACATTATCCTAATTTCTGGAGGTTCTGATATCCTTGTCAATAGGACCACAAAAGGTGCTTGCCTTGATGGCAGCTCTCACCAGAACGGAATAGATTTGAGTAAAAAGAATAAAGTTCAATTTAAGGTTAATCCTCTGATCAGATCAGGGTGCACTGAAACCCCCCCTTAGCAAGAGGAGGTTTGGCAGCAAGACAGGGACAAGGCAACAGCTGGGAACACTTTAGGTGTGAAGCTGGGAGGATGTGCAGATGTGAAAGACTCCTCCTGCACCTTGTGGTTCTCTGTTGTGCACAGGGGCTGCACAAATCCCCGGTGTCTGCCCTGGCACTGCTCCTGGCCGCGTCCTTCGTCACCTTCTCCTGGAGCGCCCCTCAGGTGAGCCCAGCATGGAGCTCATGAAGCTCAGAGCGTGGTGCCATTACGTATTTGCATTAATTAGCAATGGCATGGGATGTTGACATGTCTCTTTTCCCTCTTTTTTATTTATTTTATTTTATTTTTATTTGGTGTAAAGGCTCATTTCCAAAGGAGAAACTGGACTCCTCAGGCCATGCTCTATTTGAAGGGTGCACGTAAGTCTCGAGCTCTTTCCATTTTGAGGAGATATTTTTCCCCACCCCGGATTATTCCTTGGTTCCACACAAGGAGGAGATCCTGAGGATGCTGTGGGGGTAGAAGTTTTGAGGCTTGCAGGGAGGATGTGCTGATTGCATGGTGCTAATTATGCCATGGTCACACCTTTGGTCCCTGTACAGGCCATTCACTTCCCAGATGGACTCAATGCTCCTTGTGGGTCCTTCCCATCAGAATATCCTCAGATTCTGTACTTAGTTAGAGATGTTGTCCTTTGATCCAAATCATCAAATATAACAGAGGTATTAATATGAAAAATTGTATTCTGAATTGTTGATTTAAAATTAAAAGATATCAGGGAGGGCAGGTATAAAGAGAGGAAGAAAAAAAAGCTCCCTGTAAATTGGAGAAAAGAAAAAGGTCATAATCCTGAGTGAAATGCAAAAGGGAGACAATATAAATAACTGCAAAATAAAATAAATATAAGCTCCAAACAACTGTAAAGACAACTGAAAGTTTTAGTGACATTAATACAATTATTTCTATTAATAAAAGTGAAGATTTTGGCCCTTTTTGTTATTTTTTAAAAATTCTTCCAATGGAATAATGCATTGTGTTACTTCCCTAGTGAGGTTTTTCTCATTCTTATTGATGCACAGGAAGCAGTGTGATTTTATTTTGTTAGTTTGGGATTTGGGATGGGTTTGTTTTTCTTTTTTTAAATAAAAATACAATTTAAAAGCCAATACCTCATAGTCCAGCAAAGAGATTGAAGGTTCTTGACCATATACAAAATTGAAAAGAGTCCTTTAGGGAGTATGAAGTAGGAATTACAACAATTTTGGGGGCTGTTTTCACCCTTGTCTCACTGCTTTTGTAGAGGGACGTCGCTTCATCGCAGATGAGAGCCAGAGGAAGGACCTGTATGACAGAGTGCAGCTGGGTGAGTCCATCAGCACGCGGCTGCGGAGCCCACCCACCTCCCCAGCTTATGGGAGAAATCCCTGGAAAGGGAAGGGGATCTGTTTTCCTGGAATCACAGCCAAGGAAACAACTAAACCTCCTTTTTTTAGTGCCTTCATTCCAACCAGCACATGACAAAGGCTGACTTCCCTCTCCGGTGCACCTGTGTGATTTCATTTACATAATTTCCAGACTGACCTGGCTGCTAAGTGGGATTTTCATCAGTGCTTTTGACTTTCTTTTTGCACTGGAAAAAAGAATCAAATCAAGCTATTAATTGTGCTGAAGTGACAAATGACAGAAGCAGATGTCATCAATCCACACTAGGCAAGGTTTCTGGAGGGAACAGGATGTTGTAAAAAAGTTAGGAACCTATAAAAAGGGAAATTCTTTTTACCTTTGAGGGATTTTGAAATAACCTCCCTTTTAAAAGGATTGCTAATCTCTCGTGTTAATTATCAGGCTGGTTTTGAGCAGACAATGCTATGGAATGAAGGAGACAATATCTTCTTGTCTTTGACTCTCTAGTTATAGAAATAATAAAAAAGCAAAGAACAAAGAAATGCCATAAGACACTACCAAACCATGCGTCTCTGATTTTTCATTCCAGAAACACACAGCCATAACACAAATCCTTTATCCCTTTCTGAAGCTGCTGTGCTGTTCCTTACTTCCTTACAGAAAGCACGGGAAGGTAAATGCATGTTTTGTCTTACTCTGACTTTTTTTAAAGTGCTTTTTCAGTATTTCATTTACTGGCAAATTAATCTAGAAGGTCTGTTTTGAACTGAGATATTGTTCAACAGAGAGCCCTGTATTGGAGTGCACATTTACACAGATTACAACATGAGCCACATAATGATAGCAGGTAAATATTTGTGTATTCTGCTTTTAATTTTTTCTTAGGATGTTTTACTGGTTTGGATTCAAGGGAATGGCTATTTTTCAATTGAATTTTTCACCCCAAACCTTTTCTGGGGTTACTTTTTCTATAGCATATTGTTTGCTTGTGAAGATTTTATTCCCCCACTGGATTTGGTGCAAAGGTTTAAAAGAATCCATAAGAACCCCAGGAGAGGAGTTGCTGGTTTCACATCACCAGGCTGAGACCCTAAACCTTTGCTTTATATGTCCTCTGCCCTTAAATCTCTCACCTCTTCAGCTACCACTGACTTTTTTCTTTTTTTGGGAAATGGAGCTGGAGCTCTGTGCTCAGCCTTCTCTTCCCTGCCCTGGCAGAACTCTGAACAAAATCCAAAAAAACAAAAACAAAAAACCAACCAAAAAAACCCAATCAAACAAAAACCCCACACAAACAAACAAAACAAAAATCCAAACCAAAACAAAAAAACAAACAAAAAAACCCACCACAAACAAAAAACCAACCAACCAACCAACCAACCAAAAAAATCAGTAGCATTTTGGAGTGAGAAAAAGGCAGAATAAAAAAATGAGCACAGTGCTTTGGACAAAATATGTGAGCACTTCTAAAGTTAAACCAGTGAAAGCGTCATTTGCATGCCCACAAAAGCCTCTGCTGAAGGTGGATTTTTCCAAATTTTAGTGGTATTTTCCAGCCTGTTGTTGCTATAGCAGGGGAGATGGACAGCAACAGAGAAAAAAGGGTGAAATATCTGAGAGAGATAAGCAGAACTGGCAGCTTGTTTGAAAAAAAACTAGGTGGAGTAACATTTCCATCTGTACGGTAGGAAATAACCAGTCAAACCGGGTAAGCCATGCACTTTCAGATCAGCTGACTGAGAGCAATGCATAAATGAAGAACAAATCTATTATTTTCTTCAGGATGATTTTTTTTTGCCATGTGCTAACTTACCCCTCTGGACACAGTTTGTAGTTTTCTTCTTCAGCAAACAGAAAAATTCCTACATTTAAAAATGAGAGAATACATGACTGTTTTTAGAGATGCTGCCTCTGTCTCTCTTAGCTGAGCAGTCACACTGTGCTGAATCTGTGCCTAAGGCACATCTGAAAGCTCAAAACTTTGGCTGGCTGAACTTTCCTTCATCTACAACTTACTTCTCCCCATTGTGTCTTGTCTTACAGTGGAAGAAGAAAACAGTGAACACCCTGGCTACTTGACAGACAGTCTATTAAATTGGTGAAATTATTTCAAATGCCTTTAACATTTGTACAGCTTTGAACCTGAAAGCATAACTTGTGTAAGTTAAGTGTTTCATCCCTTCTCACTGAAGTTCCCAAAGGGTGAGGTGTTTTCACATTGCAAAATTTTGGATGCAAAGGGATTAAAAGGTACTAGCTCAGATAAGGAAAGCATCTGTAAAGTTCCTGCTTTCTTTAAAGCACTTTGTATGTCTCATCTGAAATTTAAAATACACGGCATCAGCTCACCTGAAAAGATAATTAAAACTGTCTCTTTGGACAACTTCATTAAGAAGTTTTTCAATTGTCATTGGGAAACCTTTTACCACCTTCCACTCAGCTGAGTAGTGAAGCTTTTTGAACCCTGATAAAGACAGATTCCACTACTACTTCACTGGTGGCCCTGTAGGCTGCTGATGGTCAATAAATTCAGTGAGATATAAAAACATTCCAGCTGTCTGTGACTGCAAAACTGGTGATTTGTTTTTCTTTTAAATTTTTATTTGGCAGGTATCAGTCAGCACAGAGAATAGGCAGCAGCACTTATTGCCCCAGTCCACTCCTGCAGAAATACTCTGAAAAATCCTACTGAGCAAGTCCCAACACATAAAGACAGTTTGGGACAGGTCTTGCATTATCAAGGCCTCATTAAAGACTGCTTTGTGATTGTATTTTTGTTCTTTCTTTCTGAGTTGCAGAACTGGAATTATGCATAAATCTGTTAATTTCATTCTGTGATATCATTCTGTGCTGATAAGGATGTATTATTTATGTAGTTCTGTGGTCTCACTGGAAAACCCTCTTCCATTCTGATGTAATTAAAGAGTAGCCACATGATTTCTGTGTCCAAGCAACTGTTTTGTTTTTTTAACCTTCTAGTCATGCTCCTCATCTTTTAATGTTAAACTCCCCTGATCTTTCTCATAATACTGCTGATTAACTCACACTAACTATGGTGCTGCTTTACCTCAACACAAAGACACAGCTAAAGGAATAGAGGAATTTATTTGTTTCATGGGGTTAGAGGCACTTTCAGTCATTGTTTATAATCTGCATCACTCCACTGAGGAGCTGGTGAAAGCAAAGTGTCCTGTTTTGCTCATTTTTAAGCACTGGTATATCTTCCAATGGCAGTGTTTGTTATATGACAGAACATTCATGATGAACTTCACCTCAAGACCAATGGTATCCACCTGAATTCTTTCATTATTTTAGATGCCCTTTGTTTCCAGCATATTTGGAATATCTCAGGTGCATCTAAGTGATTTTCCAGCATGTTTTACAGGATCTGTGCTCAGACAAAAAGTAGCATGGAATCAGAGAACATAATCCTAGAAAGGCCTAGTTTGGAAGGGACCTAAAAGATCATCCAGTTCCAAATGCTGGGACACTTTCCACTAGAAAAGTGAGAAGTAGAGGAGTTATACATCCTTTGGTTTATCAGTGTCCTGAGATTTATATTCTTCTGCCTGTCCCAGTGATACAGAAGCTGCACCCACCCTATTCCCAGCTGACTGATTTTTGTGTGTGCTCCTGATTTAAGGTCTCAAGCTTAAACAATTCTTCACAAATATCATGAAACAGAATAGACTTTCTGCCTTGCTGGTGGGCTGTTCGTGAAACCCCAGAGATTTCCATCTGGAAGACAATCCCTTATGTAACAGATAGCTGCTACCAAGTGTGGCACTTAATTTAGGCAATCTGTTGCTGTGGCTGAATGAGAAGCTGTTCCTCCAATGCTACAAATTCAACATACAGACGTGCTTAGCTGTAGATAAATTGCCTTGTTACTAATCCTGGAATCAAGGCAGAGCTAACACGAGTCCAAGGCATGGGGCAGAGGTCGCTTTGGCCACTGCAGGACCTGAATCTGAGAATTCAGATGGGTCCTACCTCAAATCTGAGCACTTTCTAACACCCGGAGGGTGCTCAAAGCATGTGAGTGTGCTGAAACACACAGCCTTCCTGCTCTACAGCAGAGCTTAGAAATACAAGCAACAAGTACAGATTTCTCAATTTATTTATGAAAACATCAACTTTCAGTCAATATGCCCTTCATAAGTTCTTTCTTTGGGACTCTCAGCCATTACATTTCTCTAAGGGAACTCTGATGAGGAGCACTCTGTGGAAGAAACACAAAATGCAGTTCTCCACATAGTAAACTGTGTGAAAGAAAAGATTTGCAGTATCTTTGCTTTCACCACTTTTACGTGAAAAATTACTTAGTGTTGAATTACCTTTTAAATGGTTTAAGAAATAGTGACTCCTTTAAATTCCAAATAAGTTTTTACCATAAAAACTGGAACCTGACTTCTGAGAATATTCTTTCAAGTATCCGAATCAGCTCAAGGTTATAAATCCAGATTTAAAACTGATTTTAGGTGGTCAAAAATACAAATAAGCACTTTGTCACTTTTATTCTAAGTGGCCTATAGTCAGAACCATGTCATCAAGCATTGGTTAAGTGTTTGAAAGGTAGGAGCCTAACCAAAGCTGGGCATCCAGCTTCCCCCTGGGATTGACAGGAAAGGTAAAATACCTCCAAATCTTACATTGTCCCACCTGCTGAAGAACAGGCTGCATAAAATTCTGGAAATGTCTTTTCTTGAGCAGCATGAGAAATTTTTGATGCACAAACTTGAAAAACAAGAGATTGATCTCTAACCTCTTCACAACAAGATGTGCTTCTGAAGAGCCCTTTCAGGCACTCTCTGCATCTCTAGGAGCTGAAATACTTCTAAAAGTTTTCTGTAAGGCAAATGAAATGTTTAGCTCTTGTGAGGGTCAGTTATCTCCCAAGAACTTTGAAGTCTCAAGTGCTTTTCAAAATTGTATCTTAAATTTTTTTAGCATTATTTGTTAGGATTAGGTCTCTTCTGGAAGAAGTGAAATAGAGCATGGACTAATGGAAATTACTGATCCTTGAATGTTGTCACATTGCGTGGCTTCTTGTCTGCAGGGGAGGGTGACACTCAAGGAAATTTTGTCATTCCCCTAGCCAAGTTACATTAATTTCCTCCCAAACCAGTTTGTTAACAAACCTAGAATCTACAACAAAATGAAAATAAAAGAGACATACCAGAGGAATCAGAAAATAAATGGTCTGCTGTTTATTGTGGGTCTAAATGACATCAGAAAGATGACTTCATTTGTCTCTAAAATTCAAATGCCCACTGCATAAGACATTATATTGTTCCACAGGAAGTATGTTTTACCACTGGATTAAGACACTTCTGTTTGCTGTAAAAAAAATGTTATGTAAGCTTACAATAAACAGCATCAGGAAAAAGAAAGACCATTTTCTTTTCAGTGTATCTTTTTAAACTCTTCCAATATTTCTCCAGTGAAACACTCTTTTATTCCCTCTAGTTTTTTGAGCTCTGGTTTAAAGTTCATGTTAGTTTAGGAGGGGAAAAGGGGAAACATAAATGAAGCAGAAATTCCTTTGGGATACCCAAAATGTAGCTATTTGTCTAGACTATGATTAATACAGTTGATTCCACAGACAAAGGTATGATTTGCAGTTTGTATAAGCTCCTGAGGGTATTGTCTCATCCTCTAGTTTTATTAAGCCTGAAAAATCTCTTCTACCTCAAAGGGGCACATTTAAGGTTCCCCTAATTACATCACACTGTCCTTAACACAAAGCTTGCCAAGCCTACAGGAGAAACTGTTGGGTGGATGGGGAGAGCAACCAGTTCAGTTCCTGTATTCTCCATGCTGCTTCTTCTTTCCTTGTGGCAAGGCTCCAAGGGAAAAGGGGGACTTGATGTTCTGCCTATCCCTTTCAGCTTCCTCATCCTCGTCGTATCTCTCATCCTCATCTTCGTCCTCGGCCTCGCTGTGGTGAGGGCTGGAATGCTGGGAGACAGATGGCGATGGCGGCACTGATGAAGGCCTGGGGAACCTGAAACCCTCCGTCTGCCAGGGACAGAAGCAAGGTGAATGTGTCAGCTGAGCTCCTCCATTGGTTTTATACAGCAATTTAAGGTTAGAAGCTATAAATAAAGTTATACCTCATTTAAAGTTAAGGCTATCATCACTTCAGAGGAAGCCAGTGGAAGTCATATGTAAGCTAGACCTACCCTGCAATCTAAAATTAAGTTTCCCTCAACCCAGATCCTTTTCAGTCCTCCTCTACCAGTAAATACATACTTGTATGACAGAGATGCTTACCCTGTGACAACGTCCTGCCCTTCCAGCATTGCTTTTTGCAAAACATGGATACCTTTACTGAGCCTTAAAACAATCAGCACAGGACAAAATCCTTCTGTACTCTGTAGTCAGAATATGCTACCTGAAATTCAGGTTTCAATCTGAACATTCAAAATGGTTTTCTAGTTATAATGTCAGCATCTGCATAACCAGCAAAGGGTTTTGGTCTGAACCTCCTCTCTCCTTACTAAAAAAAAAATAAAAAGAGTTGCTCTTTGAGGTTTGGTTCTAAGTAACACTGTTCTGAGCAGCCTCTCTTCTCAAATTAGTGCTAATCTGGACTAGGCAAGAACTGCTTGAAGGTGTGCCTTTAAAGTGACCCCTTGCAGCTCCAGCCAACATAGCATGTTCAGAAGAAGGCAATACCTTGCCTTGTTTTCCCTAGAACATCCTTTCCCAACTCCCCTCTATTTTGGTTGTTGCAGAACATCTCCATGGCATTTAGCAGAAGCAAAAAGGAGAAGCAGCCACTCTTCCAAGAGGAATTTCAGGGCCAGTTCCTCAGCTGGTGCAAAGTGTCATGGTCCTATCCAGCTCAGTCTAAATCATATGAAGACGTGTTCCTGTGTCCCACCTGGTAACCCCTGTGTTTGGATCTGATACCAGTAGGTTGTGGCTTAACCCCGGTCAGCAACTCAGCCCCACATGGCCTCAGCGCACTCCCTCCTGGAGAGGCCAAGGAGGGAATCAAAAGGGGAAAGTGGGCAAGCTCATGGGTTACATTAAGACAGTTTAGTAGGGAAAGCAAAAGCTGTGCACACAAGCAAAGCAAATCCAGGAATTCATTCCCCATTTCCCATGGGCAAGAAGGTGTTCAGTCATCCCCAGAAAAGCAGGGCCCCATCACAGGTAGCAGTGACTTGAAAAGATAAATGGCAGCATTCTGAACATCCCCCTTTCCTCCTTCTTCCCTCAGCTTTATATAGTGGGCATGATGCCATAAGGTCTGGAGTGTCTTTGGCCATTAAGGGTCACCTGTCCCAGCTGTGTCCCCTCCCAACTCCCTCTCTACCCCCAGCCCATCACTGACAGGGTGGGTGAGGAGCAGAAAAGTTCCTGGCTCTGTTCAAGCCCTGCTCAGCAAGAACTAAACCATCCCTGTGCTATCAGCACTGCTTTCAGCACAAATCCAAAACACAGCCCAGCTACTGGGAGAAAAATTGACTCTGTCCCAGCCCAAAACAGCATATTCCTGACTGGAGACTAAGTCTATAACTTGTTAAGCTTTTAAGTAGGAGTTCCTAATTTTCTTTATTTAAACCCAAACTTGTTAATTCTCTTCTCCCTCACACTCTTCCTCTCTCTCCTTGTAAAGCAGGCAAAATGAACTCGTCTCCAAAAGCAGACTTTACCTTTGGTGGAACACTTGGTTCCATCTCAAATTTATCTGGGAATGTTCTGCTGAGGGCCAAGTGTCTGGCATGCATGTAATACTGCAACACAACAGAGAAGCCATTACAAGTCATAGAAATCTTGGGTAGATTTAAACAAGGGGGGAAAGGAACATAAAATGAGTTATCTTCTAAAAGATGTTGCTGAACAAAGGCTAAATGTGTTTTCAGATAAGCAGAATCCAGCTGATATCACTGCTTGTACTGTGAAGTGATGAGCCATTCATGACAGATTCACACCAAAGAGGTCTGGAGCAGAAGCTGAATAAAGTGTCTGTAAGATGTATTAAAATGGAAACTAGGACTTGGTCAGTGTAGCTCCTATTGAGTGACAGGTATTCTTCATTCCTCAGGAAAGAATTGTGGGGTTTTTTTAACAAGGAAAATTTACATTTTTAAGTGTGCATATGTATTATACATAAGTTTTAGGCTCATTCAAAGTCACTTTGGACTGCACTGAAGCATGTGTAACAGCAACAGAGAAGTGACATTTATGAGTTCACTGATGCCTGGTATTTAAGAATTTGACAAAAATATTTTTAGATCCACTGTATTCCTGAGTTTGCAGCACATGCACGGAAAAAATAGCTCGTTAAAGCTTATGCAGTGTTGGGAACCATATAAATACTAAGGTTCACACACAGGTATCAGAGCAGGAAAAGGTTCAAAACAGTTACAAAACTCATATATGTGCATCCACTTCTTTAGTCCTGCAGAATTGAGAACAATACTTCATTACTGTCTTCTGAATAGGTTGTACTGTAGTGCCCTGTGTCAAATTAAAAACACTACTTTGCATTTAAAGTACAGAGGTACTTAAGGAGTGTTGAGGAGCCACAGAGCCCAGCAACATTTCATGGAGGATGGGAAGGATTTTTGAAAGTGTCCAGATGACTTAGGAACACAAATCCTCCTTAGTGTAGGTGTTGCCAACACCGTCAGATTTTTACATTGTGTTTAGCACCAGCAAGAGCTTGGTGGTGTGACTGGATTCTGCTCTAACCTGTCCAGTCTCTCCTTGCCACTGGAGCATGGAAGGATTACACTGCAATGTGCAGTCTCTGCCTTCATCCCCTTGGAGAGGGGAAGTTCAGCACGGGGCTGTGTGCTGAGGGCTCTGGCCAGGCCTATGAGCCTGGAGTTTTTGCTGCCTCTTTCTCACACACCCTGCCCAGGTACTTCCAGTCCAGGAGGTCGGAGAGGCGCTCGGTGCGGTTCCTCTGGATGATCCTCTGGCGCCGGTTCTGCTGGCAGAACCCGTACAGGAACTGGGTCAGCTGGTTGCATGACTCGTCCGGCGAGCGGAACCTCCTGTCCACGATGTAGATCCCTGAGGGACACCAGGGAGGCCGAGGTGAGTGGGACTGAAGATGGGATCTGACCTCATCCACCTCCCATCTACCTTCTGTCAGGTGACAAATGTTACATGCAGTATATTCCTTTTAATGTTAAAAGGCAGCTACAACTGGAACACTTGTTACCATTCTGATGAAATGGAGAGATGCAGAGAAATATGCTTTTTTTTTCAAACTTTAATTTTTTCTACTTTTCAGGCTGAAATTCAGCAAATTCTCCAAAACTCAGAGGGTTTATTGATGATGTGTAAGTATGTCCAAAAAGGTTCTAGTTTCTGGATAAAGATGTATAATTTTTATTTCCCATAATTTTAAAAATACTGACTTCTTAAAGAAAACATAATCCATCTAGTGCTTTCCTAGCTTGCTGTAGAATTCACAAGTGTGGATGGCCAGAATCAGGCTGTAGGAGAGAGGCTGTGTTTTCTGTAGAAATACAAGTGTTTCCATGGAGACAGCTAACTCACATACATCATTCAACAGACAATTCTGTCAGAGAGAGGGCAGAGGTAAACTTTGCCTCTACATTGTTGAGATTAATACTTTATTTTTGCCACCCTCCTTAAACCAGAGTGTTGGGAAGAAGAAGGTGCCAGACCTTGCAGCTCTCTTAATGGACATGAGAGATGCAAAACTACCTTAATGAAGTGCTTGAGACCAGCACAGTAATTTATACAACTCACACCTATGTTTTGGCAGAGAAGAGCAACTGACCTGTGTTCTGTGGTCTCTCTGAAAGGTCTCAAAGACATGTTCACCTGGGCAGGTTATCTATATTTTGTTCCTGGCTCTAACCCTTGCCTCTAGGTCAGGCAAAGGTGGCACCAGTGTGGGGCTGTCACTGCCTGATTGTGGAAGCAAGCCCAGGTACTTGCAAAGAGGCCCTGGTTTGGGAATATACTCAATATTCACAGAACCACAGAATTACAGAATGGGTCAGCTTGGAAGGGACCTTAAAGATCATCAGGTTCCAATCCCTGCCATGGGCAGGGACACCTGCCACTGTCCCAGGTTGCTTAGAGCTATATTTTGCCTGATCTTGGACACTTCCAGAGATGGGGCTTCCAGTCAGCCCTGGCTAAGCAAGGAGGAAAGGACAGGAAGGGCTGTGCCTTTGCTCTGTACCTCAGGGAGGCCACAGCTTTAGTGACAACTGCACCAGCTGGAAAACAGGGACAAACAACCCTAAAAGGAGGAGTTACTGAGGCAGAGGATGACTCAAGAGGCAGAATCATCCTGACATACCAGGCATTGGTACTCCAGTTATGAATCTGAGCAGATCACTACGTATTTGAAGTAGATTTCTTGTATTTCCATGGCTTTTCTTTTTTTTTTTTTTAAGTGTACATGGTAATTTAATGTTTGTTTGGGGAGGGTCATGTCACTGGTCTTGAATCCCACACTATTAAGAGAAGCAGACTTTCCCAGCTTCTTTTGGAAGGCTTAGAGCATTATAACCAGAGGCACTACAGGGAAATGCTGGGAGACTCCAGACTGATATGAGCAGTGATGAATTTGGAAGAATATGGAAAACAAAAGGTAAAGGGAGACCAAAAAAATAACCCATAAAGGGTCTGGATAAATATGAAAGATGAAATCACTTGTTCAACCTAACAAGATATTCAGAGCTCTGAATATATTCCCCTAATGCATTTCCTTGTCCTAGAGAAACACAAATTTGAGGGGTAACAGCATGCTTGCTGTGCTTTTTGCTTTCCTAACACAGAGGTGATATTTTGATATGCTGTTGAAGTTTTTACCATAAGCTTCTGGGTCAGCAACATGTTCCTGCATGAAACAGCCAAATCCAGAGAGGTTTGTGGTTACACTGGGAATGCCCATCACAGTACACTCAGCTGCAGAAAGAAACAGGCAAAAAGGGTTTCAGGACAATACACCTGCAATGGTTTCACCTTTATGAGGAAAAAAAACCCCAAAAAACAGGCAGACAAAAGTCCCATAACAATAAAGCTGCCCTGAAAATGTCAAGTGAAAACTATAATAATGTTTTGTTGCGGATTATTGGAAAAAATATAAAAAGAAATTTTAAACACAAAATTCACCCTGTGTTTGCAAACATATGTTTGTGTTTCAGAGCAGCTAAACTGAAAACTTTCTGGGAGTGCAGTTTCGAAACAGAGAACCCCACTACATGGTCAGGACTATTTGGGTTTTAAACTGGAGCCTAATGTACACCTATGTTCATTAGTTGTTCACAACTCTTTACAAAACTGAATCTCTTAGGGGCAGGAGCACATCAACCTTTGGATTTCGATAGTTTGCCAACAGGTCTCTATAGCAGGAAAAAAAACCCCTCCAAAATAAAAATCCCATCCCAAAACAACAAATCCCATGATTAACTCAGGACTACATTCACAGTATATGTGGAGCTAGTTTTATAAAATCAGAATATGTATAGATTTTTTGTAGTTTTTTTTTCTGTCACATCCATGAGTAAGGATAATTGCTTACTCTCCTTAAAACGTTTTTGTCAAGGAGCCTAAGCCTAACCTAAACCAGCATGCAGACTCTAGTCTTCAAAAAGCACAGAGACATCTACATGGCCTTCACTCATATGACAATAAAACTGGTGTGTGTAAAATAGTTATAAATATGCCTTTAAAAAGCAGTCTTTGTTTCTGGGAGACACAAATGGATATTGACAAAGAGAATATTTTAAGTCAGAATCTATATGCTCTGTGCATTTTTAGAAATTTCCAGTTAATTCAATGAGATTCACTACCACTGCATGTATTTCTGTTAAATAATAGCTATGGTATTACATAATTCTCTCAAACTTGTTATCTTTGAATTAAATCCACTGAACTATGTCAGCTGGCAGCATCAGATTTCTTGCCCTGCTTTTTTTAATATTTACATTCCTGCACATCTTTTTAAAAAATCCTTCAACCAAGAATTACCTTTAAAAAATTATTTCTTGTTCTAAAGCCATAAAAAATCAAAAGATTACACATTAGTACAGGAAAGAGTAAACTGCAGGGACATTTTGCCAGCAGTAAGACCTTTGCATGGCAGAGGAAACAGAGTTTAAGGAGTTTTTGGAGAACTTCAGAAGGAACTGGCTGCAGCAACAGAATGGGTGTTCATCTTTCTACGATAGTTAAGGGTACAAAATTCCTACCTGGAGTGTAGCCCCAGGGTTCATAGTATGATGGGAATACACCAAGGTGGCAGCCTCTAACAAACTCCTCATAGTCCAAGGGCAGCAAGGGGCTTGTTGAAGAAAGAAACTCTGGATGTAGGATCACCTGGATATTCAAAACTTATGTTAGACGTGAAAGAAAACCACCATTGATATATTTCAATTACCAATCAGCTTAGGCACCTTTATTCACCCTGGTCTTTTCCTAAGTATCTGGACAACATCTCCTTTGGCCATCCATCTGCTATCTACCCCACTGCTCACACTACAACACATCCTGCCTGTGTGCACTCTCATCCTGGAAACAGGACTGATGATGAACCCCCTTTTCACTGGACAGGTATTTAGCTTTACCTTTCTTCACCAAGGGGGCCCACATGCATTGAGAATTAGGCCTAAGGCATTTAGCAAGATTTGGTCTCTTGTACAAAGGAGGATTTACGAAGGTCTGGAGTGACAGGACAAGGTGGAATGGCTTCGCACTCTCAGAGAGCAGGTTATGATTGGATATCAGGAAGAAATTCTCCCCTGTGAGGGTGGAGAGGCCCTGGCACAGGGTGCCCAGAGAAGCTGTGGCTGCCCCTGGATCCCTGGAAGTGTCCTAGGCCAGGCTGGATGGAGCTGTGAGCAACTTGGGCCTAGTGGAAGGTGTCCCTGCCCATGGCAGGGGGATGGAATGAAATTATCTCTAAGGCCCTTCCAACACAAATCATTCTATGATTTTACTGGGATGTCTCTTTAGGAGGAGGCCTCAGACAGACACAGCACTTCTGAACTTCACAGCATTCCCTGAAATAAAGGAATGTTCACTGTACTCAACAGATCTCCCAAGAATGGATGGAATTTTGAAAGCAGGCACATTATAGCCCTGTCACCACAAACCTGTGCCTATTTAGTCTTGCTGAAAGACACGTCTAAGGACCAAAGTTAATTTATCTGCATGACTCTGCAGGGTTTGGGGTTACTGCCCCACATCTGCTGCTTAGTTGAGAAGTGCCTTGCATGTGGTGCCCAGTCAGCTTTGGGAGGTTGAAACGTGAGGGAATGGTTTAAACTGCTCTGGGTTTATCTCCCTGCATGAACATACCACAGCCATTATTCCATGCTCAGGATGTGCTTTCATCCCTTCTTAATAAAATTGTCATGCTACTCATTTGAATAAACAAATGAATGTACTCAACCAGTAAATGGGCTGTAAGCTCATTTTGCAAGCTTAGTTGATCCCAGTGATTTCACTGGAATTGCTGAGGGGATTTTTCCCATGCCAGCTGTGTCTGCTTGAATATGTTGTACCTCTCTCAAAATTACTTTCAATTTGAAGTTTACAGATTTTTTTTCAAATAGTATTCAGCTCATGAAGTATTAAGCCCGTTCATGCAGCAGGTAATTTTTCAGTGGTAATGACAGATTTCTAGAAACTTGACATCTGCTGAGAAGTAGATCATCATGTCTGCTGTGTTATATCCTATCTGCTCTGTAATGCCTTCAAGCAGTAAATTCTGAGGCATTTTTTACTACATCTGTACACACTGTATCCTTCCCCCCTACTTTTGTTACATCTTGTGTATTATTACCATGTGATGATCCCAGAATTTGTTGGAGTTAATGCTCGTATGTTAAGCCAGGAAGAAGCAACTAGGAAGTATAAGAAAATATTTACTCAGGTATAGCCATGGATATTGAGAATAATTGATATGTCATTGTTAGAGATACTTTGGATCTGGCTTTAAAGAAAAGGTTTAGAAGAGAAAGAATTTGCAATTTTAGGTTCAACTTTGACTAGAGAGATGTTGAGATAGTCATAGTTAGAACATCAAAGATTGCCAGGAAAAAACCAACTTTGGCAGACCTCTGAAAGCAGAAGCTGGTAATTTCTGTGGTTTGACAAAGTAAACATGGAAATAAGGAAAAGATTTATTTGCACTAATTTAGTTTCAACAGGTGATGTAAACATGAGCATGGCATGAACAGGAATTCTTTCTGCTCAAAGCCCTGGTTAATCTTTTACAGAAAATGCTGAGTATCAGGGTGTTGCTCTTAAGAGATGAATCAATACTCCAGGAATGTCTGTGCTCAAACCTTGGACCTCCAGTTTTAAGCAAGGGAATCTATGTCAGAGTTTTCTATCTGGGTGCAGATGACCCATGGCACTTTCTTGATTTCAGCAGTTAGCAGCTACTTATTCAGTGCAGGAGGCAGCAATGGAAACAGCTCCCTAACCTCAGATTTCTAACTGGAAATTAGCTTGGCTAAACAGCACCTGAGGATCCCTGTGCAGTGACAAGTTGTAATTCCTGGAAAGGGAGGAAGAGAGAAGTACTCTAGCAGTATAATACCACCTATCAAGAATTTAACTGCACTCCCCATGCTAGTGATGCAGACTGAGAATGTTCAGAGAAATCCCATTTTGGGTCTCAAATGAGGCGGCCAGAACGCACCTTCACGCGGTCTGTGCGGTTGTTGAACAGCCCAATGCGCCGGATGGTGTTGAGGATTGGGTCATTGCTGTCATCAATCATGTTGTGGGTGGTCACTGGAGGCAGAGAGTGTCTCTGAGCACAGAAAAGGCAATCCATAAATCAGACAAACTCTTGGCAAACAGTCCTGTTGCCATTTCCTAGGGCTACTAGAAGACAGTGCCAGATTTTTTCATTAATGTAAATAAGCTTAATTTACCTCAAAATAAATTAATTTGTACTAACTTTGAGAAGGGCCCACCATTTAATTTTGAAGATTGTTAGTCAATGCTGTATCTCCTTAGCATTTGATTTCACATATTTAATAAAACTGGAAAAATCCAGGCTCAGGAACAACTCCAAGTTCACACTTAGCTCAAAATAAAAGAATTAGGAATGCATGTGACTGAAGCAATATCCATGGACTCCCCTAAAGGTCCGTTTGCGTCATACTCTCATTAAAAACAATCAGACCTGATTTTAAATGTTACTGATAAGAAGTGTATTTGCTGAAAACCTCTCCCAATGCACACATATTGCTATATGCCATACTCAATCCTTTTACATCATCACATCCATTATTTTGATTAGATGTTTATACAAATAACATATTTTCTGACCTGAGTTGAAAAGATGGCTCTTTTCATAATGCTTATGTCATCTCGGTCAAGAATCTTGTTCAGGTCTGGGATTTCTCCTCTGCAAAGGAAACACACAACCAATTTTACCAAATGATTCACTGTCCCTTTTGTAAAGAAAATGAAGAAATGGCCAAGAAGGTCTGATCTGAAGTTTGCTGATGTCAACATGAACCTTTCCTTTGTTTTCATGGCATTTCTATATTCCTTATATTCTGTTCTCCCATATACTTGCTGATCTCCTAATTAGCTTTTGAAAAAAGAAAGGAAAAGAATTGCTTTCTTCTGTTTTTCGGACACAGCTTGTTTTTACTGAAGTTCCGGTCATCTCACCTGTGCTTTGGGTCATTCACTTCCAACTGTCTTCTGAAACTATATGACTGAATTACTGACACATTATACTTTGTCTCTGGTGCTTTTTTAAGCTGAAGTAGCTAGTTTTTGACAGTGAATAAGCCTTTGTGTTACTTAGATGTCTCTTAAGAGTCTTTCCACCACAAGCTGTTGGAACCTTTATTTTTTTTTCTCTGTGATTTGCCTGTTAAACAAGTATCCTGTTTATGGTCCCATATCTTCCTACCATGCCCTCCTATGGATGTTATGGATGTCAAAATCCCTTACGTGAGGAGCAGAAGCACAGAAACAGCACAAGTAAAGCCACCTGAACATGAGGCTCTGCAAGGCAGAGCAAAGCAACTTATTCACTCACTTCAGCAAGGCATTGTAGAGTTTCCTTCCAAACTTTTCTTTCACAGACTGTGCAGTGTCCCTGGGAAGATAAATAAATATACATATGAAACAGGAGAATCCAGGAGAAAGACAGTATAAAAGAGATTCCTGCAGCTGGAAATTAAACTAATAGACTGATGGAACCCAGGATGCAGAAGCAGACAGAGGTCTGGTTCTCAAAGCTCCTTTCTCCAGCCAGCAGTTGTGCTGATGGATTCCAGCAGAGCTGAGGATTTATCCTGCACCTACAGATGAGTGCACTGGGAAAGCCAGGGGCAGGCTTTGCTAAGGATTCCTTCTAGCCCCCTTCTCTGATCAGTGGACCACATGTCAGCTGTGAAAAAAAAGAGCATATATATGACCCTAGGTACTGCAACATGATCATTAATAATGGACAGAGAGAGCTCCAGATTCTCTTGACCTGGAAGAGACATACAAGATATAAGAATTAAACAAAAAGGAGTTTTCAGAGCAAGCTTCCCCCTTCACTTTCTGCCCTTTTTCCCAACTCACAGACTTTTAGAAACAAGTGTTAGACTTAAAGGTAGTTATCTCAGTTTGCAAAACAAAAAAAAACTTCCTGGAAAGCTCAGGCCAAGTTTTAATCATACCATTTATGAGGACTGTGACAGACAAATGTTATATTTTAGCTAAGGAAGAACTCCAGTGAACCCCTGTTCTGCATGCAAAGAGTAATTTTTATTATTCTGCCCGTGGCACAAAGTTCTGTTGTCAAAACAGCAAGTGCACTCTAAATGTGAGTGAATCTACTGCGAGTGAAGTTCCACTTCACAGAACCTTTCCTGCCTTTCTGATTGCTAATTATACTTTAGGCAAAAATGAAACTTGTTAAGTGAAATCTTAAACTTTACCAATCTGGGAATCCACATACATGTTTTTAGGTGCCCTTTCCCAGCTCACATAGACACAAGAGTGGATAAGTCAATTTTGGCTGAGTTGTAAAGCAGTCAAATGTTAAGCCACACTGATCCAAACCCCAGCAGGATCGCTCCCACATGACTATACTTTCATAGATTGCCATGCACAATATCTAAAATTTAACCCAGATGGGATAGACTGCTTTTCCAGAAGCAGAGGAAAAGAAGGATTTTATACCCCAAGTCAGCCATCACATATTAATGTCCAAGTGCTGTATTCCTCTATAAGTGCCAACCTCGTCTTGTCTTTAATTTCTGTGGCATCCTGAGAATCATTTGATATTATTATGAAATACTGCTAGCAGGTGGGTTTATCCTGATTATGATTATGACCATGATGATGCTGCATAGAGTGATGCAGAGGGTCTTTGCTTTTCACAGAGAAGAACAGCTGAAAGCAGTTTTCTCCTATACAGAATCACACAGCAGGTAAAGTCAGGTGAAGGTTAATCCTGCTCCTGCTTTGCTTTTTTTGTTTGAAAAGTTGCAAAATAAGTAGGACTGTGACAATTTTCCTTTTATAGCTGTAAGTTTCACTGCTTGGTTATGGCCACTGCTTGTTGTAGTCCATATAGATAATTATAGATAATTATCAACTGCTGATCTGCTGGATCACACGGTGCAATTTCCACATTTCTAAATAAAAGAATATGTGTAATTAATTTATTTTTCCCACAGAGAAGCTCACTGTTATAAACCAGCAGGCTGTCTTTATTTATTCACTTCTCACAGTGAGAGAAGGTCACTGTGAAAAATGAGCAGGCAGTCTTTATTTTGTGGGAGCTCTGTGGCACATCCAAAGGGAGTACCAGAAACATCCAGAAGACATTCAGGACACTGGATTTTCTAGAGCATTTGACTGTGTTGCTATAAAACAAGTACTATTTGCTAATAGAATGACAACACAAAAAAAAAAATTAACTAAAAATAACTGTGGATTAAAAAAAAAACAACAAAAAACCAGACCTAAAAGAAGAAATATTTGACCTTATTTATCTTTCCCATCTCTTTCATGTCTGAAATACATTCTAGTTACCCACAATCCTCAGTTGTAGCAAAAATAGGGAGCATTCTCCAGCTGAGACTTTTGCATGAGTCCCCATCAGACTGCACCAGGGTGGGAATGGCAATTACCAGAGCTGCTTCCGGACTGCTTGTCCTTTCAAGGTTTCCACATTGAAATTGTTGGTTTTTGCTGGCATGATGAAGAACACGATAACTGTAACATCAGCCTTGTGAACCTACAGTGACAAGAAATGGAGGGCAATTTAAAATAAAAAATCTGATACAAAATATCACAGCCAACTTTAAGAATTAGTCACAGGAAACACCAAATGCACTTTGGTTTTCCAGGAAGGCTCAGATCTTGTAGCTCTTGCTACAAACAAAGTTTTGTCAAATCAGAGATCAAGATGGAGATGTCACCCAGTTTCAATTTGGGCAATCAGATCTTCCTGAGCTCTCATGGTTTACAGAACATGGCTTTGGCTGAGCATATAAACTGCAGAAAAATAAAAGTCCTACACACTTTCTCACCTGACACAAACTGTGCTGGCTCAAAGGAGTGAGTGTTTGGCTTACTATCTGAGGTATGCCTAGCCATGATATGAGGGAAATTCCTACAACAGAGAAAGAACAACCATTTTCTACCTAAACTCTGGCAAAGAACCGACCAGACACGCAAAAAGCCACAAGTAACTTCTTGCCCATCTCTCCCATCCAGCTGTTTCAAAGGCAGAAAGCATTGCTGTGAATTCTGACCCTTTATTTCTAGATGGTTTCGCTTGCTGCTTTCTCCTGTGCATGAACAAGGTTCAAAATACCAGGTCCATTCATTGCTGCATGAATGAGGTTTTACTCCTCTCATCAGCTGTTTAATGAAAAGCCAAGGGTGAACTCTGTTCAGAGCTGTAAAAATTAAATTACTTTGAATTGCCTCTGTTTCAAATTTTAGATACAAAACCATTCAATAGTGTGCCTTCTCTCAGACTGACACAGAGGGAAATGTACAGTATAAAAAAACCTATGGGAGTCATCTATCATGTTTATGTTAATTAATGTTCTTCTCTTCCCTCTTTTCAAAGTGGCTTCCAAGTCCATCGTGCTACAATCCTAGTGTGCATTAACAATCTCTCCCAACATTCATATTTTATTTGCAAAATTTTGCAAATAAAGCAGGAGAGGAAAATGTCTTTGTAAAATGTCTTTATAAAATAAAACAATTTCATGCAATGGTATGTCCTTTGTAGGTTCAGGCACAATACTGGGAAATTTAGGAAGTACCACCATTTCCAGACTTGTAATTAGTACAGGTAGTCTACTATTCCCAATGAAATTACCTCTTGAATTAATTACAGAGCAAGGGTTGTTAGAACAGCTAATCAGATGCCGGCATCCACACTGGAAGAACAATGCAATAAATCCAGGCTCAGCTTCTGGGAGAAGCAACAGTACACTGCTCTATAGAGCCTGGGAAAACTAGCCTGTTTCCTTTAATTTCCATCAGCCTTGTTTACCATGGATGCCATCAGGAAGAACTTTTTCACAGAAAGGGTGATCAGGCAGTGGAAGGGGCTGCCCAGCAAGGTGGTGGAGTTCACCCTCCATGGAAGCGTTCAGTAAACAACTGGACATGGCTCTTAGTGCCATGGTCTAATTGACAAATGGGTGATTGGCCAAAGGTTGGACTCAATGATCTTGGAAGGGTTTTGAAGCCCTAAAGATTTTATGATTCTATGATATAAATCATTAGCTGCAATAAGAGATTCCTGCAATAATTGCTCAGGCAATTCTTTCCCTCTTATCGCACAAGACCTTCCACGTTACCAGCATTCACAGGTAACAACCATGAAAATGCCACTAACAGGTAGCTGATGTTGCACAGCACTGCCAAACAGCTGATTTCTGTTGTGGAAGAAATACTTCAGTTCTGTGAGGTGATCTGTGTGAATGAAGGGATTAAGAATTTCTAGAAAACCCAGAGTCACTAAATGCCATATTAATAGAAAGTGGTGGTAGAACAATTGTACTTAGGGCTTTGGACATTAGTGATTCTTTCATCCCTGCTGACAGAGCAGTATCATAACTTTTATCCAGATTTTCCATATTATTCAACTGTTAATGAGTACAAAGGACAGAGTCTAGGACAACAGCTAATTGATCCTTGCCAAATGATTGAAAGCCAAGTAGCATTATTAGCATTTTTTCTGGGTTTTATTTTCAATGTATTAGTCTTTGGGACACAATGGAGACATTTTCAATTGTAGGTAGTAAGGGCTGTGCTCTGTGATTTTTAACAAGGCCTTGCTCTTATCTTCATTGAAGTACTCCATAAAGACATTTAGAAACATTGCACCAATTTTGTTGAGGAAACAGAACCACAGAGACCTGAACGGCTTCCCATTGCTTTGCATCACACCACTGTCACTCTGTGAATTTTAATGCAACATTCCCATCCAGTGGGGTAGCAGAGATTTAAAAGATCATAAACAGGTCCTAACAAATTAAGCAATTTGCTTAAAAGGATGTTTTTAAAATGCCACTTTAAAGGCTTACTTTTATTTCCATTATAATACAGAAGCTATCAGGGTAAAATCTAGAATACTATTTTTGTTACTTCTTTCTAAAAGCTAGGGAGGCAACCATGGATTAACTTCTTGAACTATGTAATTAATCATTTTCAATTATACAACCAATCTATCAATTAAAACTGTGTGAAATCATCATATATTCTGATGGTTCAGGAGGAGAGCCCTATGAAAACTGTGATTATCCCATAATTACTTCCCTAGAAACCAGAGTATTGAAAGGGAATTCTTGTAGGTGACTTCCACAGGATGGTGAGTTTGAGCATAAACTCTATGCTTTAAGCAGCTGTGTAAGCTTTCTTACCCTCAGCAAAAAGTTTAATCTTGATAAGGCTTCTAGAAACATATCAGCTCCTTTGTTGGAAAACTCATATCTCCCAGCAATGAAGAAAAACAAGGTCTTGTCAAGATCGAAGTCAAGGTGGCTGAAAGCAAGAAAACAGACAAGAACAAAGTATTTCTCAAGATACAATCAAATAAAACACACAACAGCTTTCTATTCTGGAGGAACTTATTATCCCCAGATAAAAATGAAAGTGAAGCTTTTCTGCTGTGCTTTAAATTGACTATCTTAATCTGACTAATTACATCTTGGGTAAATAACAAACAGATCAAGATCTGCTGTCTGAAATCACAATCTGTTAAGTAGAGTCAGATCTGGTGTCTAAAATTCCCTTAGCTTCTGACTGAGAAATCCCAGACAGACATTTGAATAAGCTGGTTTCAACATTTCCACTCCTCTATGAAGTACTTGTTAGTCCTCCTGCTTTGCTTTAAATAGTGTTGGACAAGCATTGCTAATTTTTGAAAAGTAAAAGCATACCCATAGAAATGACCTCGAATGAACTCTTGGATCCTAGCCTTGTACATGGAATGCAAATTCTGAAACTCATGCATTGCTGAAAATTTCTTAATGTTCAAGCCATTTGGGGTGACAACATCTGGAAAAGCAGAGAAAAGGCAGAGGTAGACATCTTCAGAGTCAGAGAAATCTTTAAGGAAAGAACCAATGTGTCTCTCAAGTTTATGTGAACAGGTTATGTTTTTATGTTATTCAGGGGAGGGAAGAGCACTGCCTCCACAGAGCTCTTGCATGTGGCTCTGCACATCTGCACCATCAAAGCAGCTTTCACCTGTCCTCAGCACGGGGTAGACCCTGCCCTTTTGTCCTGTCAAGACCCCAGTGACGTCTCCATTGAGCCACACATTTGTTGTGCAACTTGCCCTTTACCTCTTTATCCTTGATATCACTGTTGCCTGCTCAATCACTACAGATTGAGAGCCCTTGGAAGCAGAAATTGTGCTATGCCCTTGTTTACTGCATGGCACAAGAGATACCCATTCTATCAAAACTTCTGAGGATTTATCAAAAAAGGGAGCATATAAGAAACATTTATAAAACAGCCTCTTTCCAGTAATCAGTTGCATTTCACCTAAAAATATCCATGGAATAGTACACTTTACATTTTTACTGCTGCTCTCCTGCAAGATTCTAAAGGATCTTACAATTAAAATTTGTTCATTTCCAGCCCTCCTGCAAGACTCTAAAGGATCTTACAATTAAAATGTGTTCATTTCCAGCATTTTAAAGGTAGAGTTTTGGGATATACACAGAGGACAGGCACTGAAATTCAGTCACTCTTAGCCTTCCTGGTAGATCACAGCAGCTATTCAAAGGCTTGCCCCAAATCCAGTCCAAGTAAATGGAAAGAATGCCATTTTCTGTCCTTTGAGCTGGGTTATGAATGAAAATGAAAGGGAAGGCCAGTTCCTCAGCAGATGTATTTCATGGCAACACAACTGACTGAAACAGACTTATACTACTTTATGATACTTGCCTGACATTATGCAAATGGCACAGCCATTTTTGATTATTTCCTTGAGAATTGCAGTCTGCTTTAGCAATATATGTGTTTCCCTGCCATGTAAGTGATCTGTGGTTAAACTTTCACCTGAAAATGTCCTGAAGCACTCTAGGTTAAACTACAACAGATAAAAATATAACCTTTAGTAGTAACCATGAAATAGCAAAAGTCTTGATGGATCTGTTTCTGGAATACCAATTCTGAAACTAAAGACCAGGAAATCTTTACTTGCTAGGTACTGAAGATTTGGTTTTCAATGGCCAAACAGTCTTGGTGGACATGAGGAGAAAACTTGTGCTTTTACCTTCTCCTGCCCAGCACTTAAGAATTCTCTGAACAAAGGCCTCTGGGGGGAGGTAACACAGCAGAACCATCCTCCACTGTCTTTACCAACAACACACCTTCTCCTTTCTCTGACCTGTTCCGTGCTCTGTGAGGGAGAACTGGCTCGTGCAGGACAGAGCTTTGAGACTCCAGCCATCTCCAAGGCTTCCCAATACAGGAAGAATCCCTTGCCCAGCTATTTCTGGCCAGCTTCTTTCCACACTCACATTCATTTATCAGGGAGTTTTGGAGAGTATCACCCACCAGCAGCAGCCTGTGCATAACCTACTCCCATGTCCTTTGGTTTAACTGCAGCTTCATTTATCCTTTCATGAGGACTGGGGCTCCATCCATCTCTTGCTTAAGTCTTTGAGATGCATGACAGACACGGTGGCCCAAAGAACCCAGTTCACTATTCCTGCTCAACACCCAGGAATATTTTGAACATGTGTGAGAGATGAAGTGATGAAAGAGAGTTTGGTCCCTATGCTGTTTTTTTTTTTTTTGTTTGTTTGCTTTTGTTGCTGTTCTTGTTGTCTAATGAAATAACAATATTTTTGCTTGAAAAACTGTCCCAAGTAGGTCAAACCACAATGTTTTAACTTCTGTATCTATAGGAAAGAAACTGGCATGATTTAAGTAATATTAGCACAGTTTTCTCTTGATAGATCACTAACAGTAGAGTTGACTCTTTTTTCAGAGTTTCCATCTATGATTTTGATCAAATACATACAGATAGGAAGCCTAGATCTAGAACTCAATTGATACCTGAATCTCTTGGAATTTTGACTCAAAGTCTTTTCTACTGCTAATAAGAAATATGTTCCACATCTGAGTGAAAACATTAGACATCCCATAACACCAGTTTTCAAACCACGAGAATATGACTTATGATCACTGACAAAATCCTGCTAGATATGTCAAAGATACTCAAGCTTTTGATAAATTTGGTTTGATAAATGGTTGATCACATAACAACTGCAGCAAGTGGGATCAGCATAATGCAAGCAGTCATTCTGCCAGGTTTAAACTGGCAAATTGGCCTTTGTCCCACTGCAAAAGTTCTCTATGCAATTGGATTTATTAAATTTTAAAGGGACCTCTCCAAGTGATGAGATTTATAATTTAAATTATAATCCAAGTTTGATGTTAAAGAGGAGTAGCAGAGAGAGCTCAATTTAGCATATTTCTGAGTTATTTTTAGCTAACTATTTGAAAAACTTTTATCTCAATAAATGTAAATAAAATTTAATTGTGCCAATCCAGCATCCTCCTTTTAAAGGTTTATTTTTAAAGTGGATGGAGAAATGCACACATGCTTTCAGTATTCAAGTTCCTTAGCAAGCTCAATGACCTACTGAAGGATTGATGGGTTTTTAAAAAAATCCATGTCTATGCAGATTTCACAACTTCAGAGAGAATAAATAGTGTGAGAATAGGTTCCTGCACAGTTTATTTGTGGTCTTGGATTCAGAGAAACTATTAAAATACTTATTCTCATTAGACTTTCCACTTAGAGTTGCTTCTTAGGATTTGGGGTGACAATTTCTACTGAATTTCTTTCTAGCTATATCAACATGAAGCATGACATCTCTCAGTAGTTTTTTAACCCAAACATTAAGTATATTTACTTGGTTTCTTCAAAGTTGCAAGAATAATCACAAAAAGCTCAGGCCTGTGAATCTCTGTGCATGGAATTCTCTTCAGCTTCAACTGATGTTTTATCTGTGAGCAGTCTGGAGATTTTCTTCCCCAAATTAAACTGGATTCAGACTCATTTCAGTCTCCTAAAATCCCAAAACACAGACTATGATTTTCAATGGTAGCTGTGGTGGGGAGAAGTGTCATGCCTATATTAAAAAAGCTTTAAAAGTTTGCTTTTCAGAGTGCTCTGCACTCTGAAAAATCAAGACCTTTCAGAGGTATCCCAGTTTAAATGACTGAACTTCAGTGACTTTTAAGACAAGGCTTTTGTGCTTAAAATAAAATGAAAAAGATAATCTAAATCCATCATCCTATTGGCAGCTAGTCAGGAATGAGGCAAAGGATTCCATGAACAGCTCTTTCATTCAGGTTCAGGAACCACAATGTGGCTTGAAGCATTGAAGTTAATCAGGATAACAATCCCTAACTATAATCAGCACTGCAAATCATCCAATAACTCTACAAAGAGTAAGCAAAAAAATCCCCCAAATAAACAACTAAACCCCAAAAATAAAACAAAAAACCGAGTTCAAACAAAAACAATAATTTGAGCACTGTTTAATTTAAAATAACCAAGATAACAACACACCTGCTAAATAGTCTCCAAAACTGTTGTACAGTTTTCCCTCATGCTGCTTACCTGCAGGTGGAGTATTGAGGTTTATTCCTATAAAGCACTGAGGTGATTTAAAGAGAAATTTGATGACACATCAAACTGGGATCATGACCTTACTGAAAACCCAAGCATGGAACAAGACAAGATTTCTAACCTTCATATTTTATGAGACTAATATCAAGAGGAAAACCAGACAAATTATTGGGCACAGAACTATTTTTAAAACTCTACTTGTTGGCCTAATAGAAAATATTTTATCTATATGAAGTTTATCATGGTTCAGTTCTAAAAGCAGGGAAACCCTGCCACAGACAAAATTCCTGAAGTTGAGGAGTCCTGGTAAAAAAAGCCTAACATCCATGGAAAATTGGTTAATCCCTGTAGCATTGCCAGACACACCTGTGCATGTGTTCTGTCTCTTCAAGTTTGCATACTGCCTCTATTGTGTTCATTCAGTCTAAAGATATGTGGGCATTCTGAGGAAATAACAGTAAAAAAAAATGATTCAGGTCTTACCAGGGCTTTTTTTAAGCATATGTTCTGCTTCTGTAGCTGTGATCTGGGAGACTGTGGTGAACACATGGGCACAATGCACAGATGCCCTTTCCATACAGTACCGATGGTAAATCTGCCTCTCTCCAGCCTCCTTGTCAATGTCAAACTGTTAAATAACAAAACCAACAAAAAAGACACCTGTGTGACATGAGCATCAAACTGTCTCCCTCAGGGAAGGCTTCTCCTGCTAAGCTCCTTTTCCCCATGGAACGAGAACCACAAGAACCACGTGATTATGCTGCTGTTTTGTCATTCTGGTGTTTGAACTGTTTTATCAACTTCAAGGAATTTGAAAGAGCAGGAGAGCTCTCAGATCCTGCTTGCTCCTCAAAGAATGGCAGCTCTACCATGGAAGGAAATTTAGATTAATGATCCCATGAAAGGTAAGGATCTGTGGAATTTGGCCTGCTGGCTGGCAATGTATCATGTTGCAGCTTTCACAGGCCTGCTGGAAAACTTGGGAGAGCAGGGAGGTTACTGGTAGCTGAAGGGAAGAGAAGAAAATAGGAATGGGGATGAGGACAGAACCTGGGACTCAGCAGAATGGTGGGAATCACAGGTAGGCAGGAGAGAAGTGGAGGGCAGGATAGAAAGACAAAGTGACAATTCCCAATGGAAAAAAGAAAACAGAACATGAGATATTTTCTGACACTGAGAGATATTCTTCCTCCAACTCTGCCACTGTCACTTGCTGCTTCTTATATTTCAGTTTGAACTCCCTTAATTTCTAGAGACAGATGCAAGTTAAACTGCTAGATACGACATTCCAAACACCCAAGTGTTTCTAAATCACCTTTAAATCTTGCAGCTACCCTTTTTTAACTTATATTATCCTGATGCAAAGAAAATGCACAATTCCCTTGAGTCCACGCTTAAAGGTTCAAATGTTCACTAACAGTGTCCACTGCAAAATCGCTACAACATAGTCTAAAAAAGGTGTCAATGCTTGCAATTAAATCACAATCCTCTTAGTCTTCCACGATGTTTCACTTCTGGAAACAGAAGTCTTGAGACCCTAAGGTCAACAGCATGGGCACCCAGTGGCCTGTGTGAGTTCCATGGAGGGTGACAATGACTCTCAGTGAGCTCTGCCGTGATCGCTGCCTAATGCAGGCTGCACAGCCTGATTTTGATTGCATGTGACTGTGTAACTTTGACCATAATAGATTTAACCCCTATCACAGGCAGGGCAGACAGCACTTTCTATAGTTAGGATTGTGTGACCCCTGCCATGGCCAGCTGCTTTTAGAACTTCAGAACTTGGACAGAAGTAAAGCTATTTAGGCTGTGACCTGTCCTGCAAAGCTTAATGCTGGTACAGAACATACTGTGAGAAAGTGGATGCAATGGGAACCATTTCAGGGACTTACAGTGAAGCACAAAACTTCTTATTTTCACTTAGATAGGTGTAGACAGAGATGTTGATACAGATATCTTATAACTGCTTTGCTGAGAAAATTACTTGCTTTTATCTGCTTTAATTCTGCACCAGTGCTACAATACTAGTGGGAAAGTGGCTTCCATTGTGTTAGTTGAAAGTGCCAATCTAACCACCCTAGTGTGACAAAAAAAAAAAAGCTGAGAACTTGAAAAGTCTCAGCTGAAAACTTCCAAAGAAATGAGATGCTTTAATCTGGTATTGGTGATCCTCTATATCAAGAGCTTTTCTACATTTGCCAAATACAATTTACCACATAATGTGCTAAATATTATGATACCATTTCTCAGTTGTATCCTCATATATCGTCTTTTCTGCATTCCCCATGAGAATTTTAGAGCATGAAATACAAAGCATATTTTCTCCAGGACATTAATCTCATTTGCCACAGAAATCCAGTGGTAGAAAGAACACAAAGAGAAAAATAAAGGGGAATTCATTTGGCTCCTTTTAGTGCCACAGGTCTCAGCATCATCCTTGGCTTAAACTAAACTGATTCACAAGGAGCTATTAACTGCATATTTGATTGTCTAAACATTCTGTGGAAAAAAGATACAAAATGGGACCATTCTTTAGTATACTAGACAAACACATGAATGGGATGGGCACAACTACAGCCAGAATTATGAAAGTGTTTTCAAACACATCTGGCTTTCTGTTAAAAATACTTTTGAAATTGCTAGCAAACAAATAGCTGGTCAAACTTCAAAGGCCTTTTGTTCTCTTTTGGCTTTCTCAGCAAGAATGGGTTTTAATTACAAAACGTGATTAAAAATTAAATTTGGGACATGCTCACCAACTGTTGATTAAGACTCCCTGTAACACTGCTGGGGCAAAGGTTTATAAAAAGATTGTTAAGCACTATGACTTATTTCTAATTAACTTTTATTTCTTTGGTTTCATGAAAAGACTTTACATATTTAACACATATCAGTGCTTATTTCTTCATTGCTATTCATTTTCCCATCTTTTATAAACAGGGAGTATTTTATTTTGTGTATGCTTGTGGGGCTTTTGGCATGTTTTTGCAAAGGTACACAATTCCACACCGATTAGGAAGTACAAACAGAGGTCATGGGGTTCTCACATTTCATTTGTTGTCACTCTCCAGCAGCTTCCAGCACCAATCAGTAAAGCAAGACCTTGACTTTTGACCTCAGGGTGGAGTAAGAACTGTGCACTTCTGAGCAGGCTAGACAAGCAACTTCAGAAAAGAGCCTTAGCCAAGTTGAAGGGCAGGTTAAATGAAAATTAATTGATGAGACAGTGCAGGTGACTCATTTAACCCAGCTAGTCCTGTGCAAAGCTGAGCCTGCTCTGACAATCTCCAGAGTCAGAGGCACTGTGGGGCATGGGACAACATGCTGAAACCAGCAGGACACCTGGGCAGCTCCTCACCCCCAGCCAAAGCTCCTGCTCAGCCCTGAGCCCTGCTCTGTGCCCAGCCCAGCTCAGGCGCCTGTGAACTCTGCCCCAAACCCCTCGTGCTCAGCCAGAGCAAAGCGAGATTCCCAAGTGCGTCACGCCTGCTTTTGTTTGTTTGCTGTGTTCAGCAAATGGGAACACTGGCTATGCTGCAGATCACAGCTGCATCAAGAGAAAAAAAAAAAAACCTAAGTCAGATGAACTGTTTACAGAACCCTTTAGGGTAGAAAAAGCTCTTAAGGTCCTTTGGTCCAACCATTTCAGTGATATTTAAAGGCCAACAGCTTCAATATCTACTTTCCTATACATTTATTGGAGGATCCTCTCCTTCCCTGACCAGTGGAAAGCAAGCAGATTATTAGAATTTACAAGAGGGCAAGGATTAGAAGGGGAAATAACTCCTTTAGAAGGCCACTCTGATTTCAAAGCAAAAGTTGTTCCACAGGTGCAATGCTTTGGAGTAAAATTTGCATTTGCTGCAGTGCAATTCTGAGGGAAAATTTTGGTTAATTTCTGTGGATTCTTTGGTTCATTTTCTATGGATCCATGTAATAAGCATAACATCCCATTGATCTCTCAAAATTCAACGTTAGGAGGCACAGCAGGTAATCACTGAGCCTCCCAGCATGACATTCTGAACTCTGAGTGAAAAAGAAGAGAATATTAAGCATCTGGAAACAGTCACTGAAGTAGTAAATCCAAATCAGCCATTCCTACTTCAAAATTATAAAGATGAATTGCAAAGTATTTCCAAAACACAAGAATCACTTGAGAGTGGAAAAAGAGGAAGGACTATATTAGCCATCTAAATCCTTGTCTGAAAGAAAGACAAATTATTTGTCACAGTCTACAAAGAATCTCTAGATAATGATATTAGCCTATGGTCTCCTAATGAAAAAAAAAGGATGGTGAAAACCAACAGAAGTTAAACCAATACAAATTCAAACTGGAATTAATATATGTAATTTTCCTAAATAAAACATTATGACACCTTTGCAGGAATAATACAGACTCACCATTTAATACCCTCACCATTTAAACTTTACCTCAAGAGTGAATAAAATCACTTTAAATATTTTGTAATTCAAATAAAAGGTACAGGTTTGATGCCTGAGGATTTTAGACAGAGAACAAAATAATCTTTCTTGGTCTTTTAAAAGAGTGGTACACTCAAGTTCAAAGTGATTCTGCAGGACCAAGGAACAGTCAGAGACTGGTTTGAAGTTCAAATTCCTAAGTGACTGAATGGAAACATTTTTGCTTCCAGCATAAACTCACTGGCTGCTGCTGTCTAAATTAGGTAAGAACCACTCCCTTAAAATCTAGCTAACATCAAATTTACCTCCAATTGACTGTTGCCTTATGTAAAGAGAGCTTTCATTCTGGTATGGCTCTGCCAGGCCAAAAGAGAATGAAATTTACACTTCCTGGCTTAAATCAGATTTCCATCAGCTGTTCTGTTGACAAAGTGGATTAGCTTTGTGTAACAGTGAGCTCAGTGACAAACTGGACAGTACAGCACTAAGTGGAGTGAGACACTGTCAGCAGAAAAGCTCTTGACTATTCATTTTCATTGGGATTTTTAGTACTTTTCCTTTTAGACTTCTTGGGACAGGATTTTCCACCACTTTGCAAACAGGACTCAGCTGCACCTGCATAAGCTGAATGAAAATGTTCCAAGTTCTAAACAGAAGTGTTGCACATCAGCAGGGCAACCTAAGGAAAAAGGCAACAAAGACCATGACTGACCTTTTTTTCCTTCTCCTTTTCCCATTAAACTCAAAGTAGTTTTTCAGTAAGAAGCATCAGAGGCTGAACCACACAAATCTCTTCATGATGCCAGGCCAGTGGTCCCAAAAATAATTTCAGATTATGACCTCTCCAGGTTAAATAATTTTCCAAAATCTGCTGTCTATTCACCTAGGAACTTGTTTAGATCATTGGTGTCTCAGTCAATTTATGAAAGGTGCTGGTTTATTTAAAACTCTAGGATACAAAAAAATCCCCATGCAAAACAAGCAAATAACTTAATCAGTCCCCTCAAACAATGGGGAAAACAATAACAGATTGAGAATGTTAATCTTCAACTGAGAAGCCAATTCCTCCTGAAGAGAGAAAGGCTCCACAGACCCAGAGATTTTTTTTCACAGAAATTCCTACCTTTTAGCAATTTTGGTTTAGGTATCTTGGCAACAAACATAATTTCACACACCAATGTAAAAGCTGCACTGGACATGGAGACAATGGGAAAATGCCCTATTGGCTGGACTATTTAGATATACAAAAGTTCTTAAACTTCCTTTGGGAATTAAACTCATAAAAAGCCCTGCTTGATATTGAAATTAGGCAGTGTGAGTTTGGAAGAGTTCAATAACCCATAGGTTTAGTGAGCAGTCCCTGGCCCAGTAATGCACCCAGGGTTCTTCAAATAATTAAAAGTAAATAAAAATAAAGACACTGTCAGTTACTGTACGTCACCCCATTTTTTTCTTTTGGTTTTCCCTCCCTTCCTTTCTCCAGGATGAGAGTGAATTAAATATGAATCTAGGTACTAAAATATGCACTAAATAGTAACACAACAGTGTTACGTCTGGTGCCCACTGTGCTCCTGAGCACCTGCTAAGAGTTTAACACCCAGGTTCTCGCTGGAACAGAGGCAGGTAAATTCCAGCCAGCCCAGACAAACTGAATTTAAACTCTAAGAATATAAGAATTGTATAAGCTCAAATCTTAACCACAGAATCATTAAGGTTGGAAAAGACCTCTAAGATCAGGGAGTCCAACCTTTGACCAATCACCACCTTGGAAATGAAAGCACAGCCCTGAGTGCCATGTCCATTGCTAAGCTGTAATACTGCCTAAGAACCAGGATCCCATCTCTGAGGGAAAGAGCAGATGGCCCAGGAGGAGGTCAGGACTCACACAACATTACAGTTTTACATCCATATAGCACCCTCCCATCTTCCAGCCATCCACAGCTTCCCTCTACTAGGCTGACTGGGTTTGCAGCGCCCCAGAAAATGTCCTCTTACAGATTACAGGCTGACATGCGCCCTCAGCTCATGGAACAGGGAGTTTTGGTAGCCCACAGCTCAGGACTCCCCTGGTCTTGCATCTTCTACTCCTGGTTATCTATGGGGATGGTTTGACAGTGCAGTGGGAGAGTCCTGCACTGTGTGGGCAGTGCAGAACTGCCTACCAGGCATCCTAACTCAGCACTTTGTGGACTGTGTTGTGGGCTCGAAACAAAGACATGAGGTTTCCTCTTTTCTCTGTATGAGCTGTACACGCCTGATTGCGTCAGGCACAACAAGGCCGCACGCTTTCATGCTGTGCTGCAGCCATTTTTCTGTGACGTCTGGCACAACACATCCTGGCAGCTGCTGCCTGGTGGGAACTGTGTTCTAGCTGTGAAACACCGGTCAAACGTGAGAACTTAATCATACTTCAAAGGAAAACATTTATGCAATAGCACCGAAACAGGAAACCCAGCTATTTTTGGGGTGGGAGGGGGTGAAGGAAGCCCTAAAGAATCTTCTTCACTAAGGAAATTGCTTGCTTGACCTAAATAGTTTGCTGCCAGAAGGCAACAACAAGAATATGTCTGAAGATCTAGCTGTTATTTAATTGTAGTATTCAAGATCAAGCTCTTGTGTCTCAACTGACTTTTGGGCCAAGGTGACTTTTTCACAGCCAAAGAAACCCTCACTAAGATAGTTAAATTTTCCAGGAAGAGTTTTAGCATCCTATAGAAATATTAAACAATGTTATAACAGCTTGACATAATTTCCTCTATTAGTACCTTTAATTGTCAACTCACAGAGGGTATAAAGCATTACAGCCTAGAAGTCCACAATTTCCTTCCCTTAAATATTATTTACAGCCATTTAGAATGATATTTGAAATTGATACTTATGTTTCTTTCCACATATTCTTAGAATAAAATCTGAATAGACATTTCTGTATTTGTGACATAGCTGATGGCCACCAATGGAATTTGTGAGGCTTTGAAGGATGGACAGTGCTTTCACACATAAAGATGTTCATGTCATGTGTGGACAGAAAAAAATTATATTAATACTGTGACTAGTTTATAAATATATTAAGGTCTGCAGGTTTAGTCAGATGTAAGATCATTATAGTACCTTTTGAGTACATAGACAAGGGTGAGGCCCCCAAAAGTATTCATGAAGAGAAAAAAACCCAGTTGCTTTGAGAAAAAAAAGGACTATTTTCCAAACTGCTTGCAGCTCCCTCAATTAACCAGAATCAAAACAAACCATTCTGTATTATACACACAGAGAGACTATGAGTGAGCAGGACTGTCTGGACTCCTACACAGCAGGACTGTGCTGTTCATGCTGCCTTATTAATGCACCTAACACCATAACGAACTTAGGAGTCTAGGAGAGATGATTTACAAGGGCTTGGAGTGACAGGACAAGGGGGAATGGCTTCAGAATGACAGAGAGCACGTTTAGATTGGATATGAGGGAGAAATCCTTCCCTGTGAGGGTGCTGAGGCCCTGGCACAGGTTGCCCAGAGCAGCTGTGGGTATCCCATCCCTGGAAGTGTCCAAGGCCAGGTTGGATGGGATCCGAGCAACCTGGGATAGTGGGAGGTGTCCCTGCCCATGGCAGGGTCAGAGTGAGATTATGTTTACCAAAAAAAAACCCCAAACCATTCCATGATTCCCTGTTTCTGAGTCAGGCCAGCAATATAAAACTGCTTAGGCTTTGTCTTTGGAAGACACAGGTCCCCAACAAGTCAAGCTTCCAACATCCAACTGAAAATTACCAACTATGTAATTTTCTTCACTGTTTTTAGCCAAGAAGTGCATGAACAATGTGGTTCTTTTATGTACCTCTACCTTCACTAAGTGCTGGAATGGAAAAACCTCTTGAATTCAGGTTTGTCTGTGACCATATGAGAAATCCCAGATCAGGCAAAGCACCCTGATGAGGGCGGTGCGAAAAACATTTGGGTACTTGAAACATTGTTTTGTGTTATGCTTTGAGTGGAAAGAGAACAGTGAAAATCAAATCCAACAGACAGTTTACACACATTCCAAGAAACACATGTGAGTCTTTTGAACTCAGAAAGTACTTCTACATTTGCCAGTTACAAATTAGGCCTCACCTGAAATGCTTGAAATTAGGACTCACTATGGTTTGTAAAAATTAAGAAGCAGGCTGGGGGAAAAAAAAGGCAAAGCAACCATGATCCACTGCAATTCTGGGGTATTTTTCACAAGAGGAGGGCTATTGGTTATTTCCTCTACTGTGTTACATTAAGAAAGACTTTTGTGAGGCCACACCTGAAAGGTCAGATGTTGGCTAGAGCTGAATAGGTTTTACTAGTTTCCACTGAGCTTTCAGACCTGTCAGATGACACAAAGGCACTCATGCCTGGACACTTCATGATCTTAAAAATGTTGATTCTCATGCTCTGGAATCAACAACCAGCTATGGGTCAGTCATAAGCAAGCACACAAGCCAGAAAATACAATAAATAGTGTAACACCATAAACAGAAAGGGAGCTGGTAGACAATTAACTAAATAAACAGAGAAGAATGAGAAAAATGTCTCTTACTTGGTCCAGATTGTTGTAAAAGTCAATATTGGCTGCACACAAGTATCTGCCAAGCAGAGTTGCATGGGTAGTAAAAATTGTGGCGACGGGAAGTTTCTGTGATCGAGACAGGATTAAACCCACTCCTGCCTGCCACTCGTGGAAGTGGGCAATTATATTGGGCTTGTCATCAAACTGACAGGAAAGCTGAAAATAAAAAGAAATACATGAAACATACATTATCATGTCCATCATGCCAGCCCCAGAGAACTTTTCTTTTTCTTTTTTTGGTGAAGCCTTTTGAAAGCTTGCTTTCCTTCTTGTGACAAAACAGTACAATTTTAAGAGGACCTGTGCCTTGATTTCCATCAGCTCTAATCCTTAACCCAAGAAAAATGTGTGCCTCTCTAGCTCCTCAGAACAGACCTCTTTCTAGAGTGTCAGAGGGCTCTGGCAAGCACAGTCACTCAGACTCCACACTGGGCAGCCCCACTACCCTTCTTCTGGAAAAATATAGTTGAATGACCAGTCAACATTTAAGTTTTAAATATAAATTTGATTTACGTTGAGATCAACTTCCTAAAAATCTTGGTTTTCAAACTGGAGAATAGGAACCACATCCCAAGTAGTTTTGGTCTACAAATCTCTAGATTTAAAAACTGTACCTCTTTCAAAAACCAGGCTGTTAATGATCCAAAAATCACAGCATCATTGGCTTCTCGGTCATGAAAAGGGATCCCTATGTTGCTGACTTCCCAAAATTCACCTTTCCACTTGTCCAGGTTCCAAGCTGCTGATCCTATATCAAACAGTAAGACATAAGGGCTGCCCTCTATCAGCCATCTTCCAAAAAAGACCTATGGAAAAGAGGAAAGGATAAGAAGGATAGAAAGAAAAGGTTAAAGTGAGTGTAAAGGCCAGTTAGCACAACAATCTTCATCCATCACATCTGAAGTATTTCACACAAACAATGTGTATTCACAGTCCTACAACCCAGGACTTGCAGTTTTCTTTGCAAAATACATAGAGTAATACTGAAGCAAAGGAAACTATAACCTTTAGGAACATTTTATTTTTAAGTCTTTCCTTTTAGATTTTCATTGCAATAGTAACTTCTTTTCTGTGAAAGAAAAAAAAAAAAAGGTTAGGAAGACTACACTTGCTTGAATAATGAGGTCTTCTTATTGAAGTATCTGAGCCAGTTCTGTCCTTATTTTAAAATTTTCATTTTCTTTCACTCATATTTGTCTCCAGCCTTTTGCTATGTATGCTAGATTACTGAGAAGAGGTTTTGTAGGACTGATGCTTGGTGCCTGTATCTACCATGACATTTCTTCCTTCTTTCCAAGCAGCACAGAGGGAAAGGATTCCAATTCCATTTGGAAGAGTGGAAGGATCAATCAGAAGTGGAAGATCAATAAATCTCAACACCTAAAATCACATCAGGCTAAAAATGCAGCTTTCTTGCTTTGTCTCCATTGGTATAATTAAACATTTCTAAGAGTATTCACAACTTCACTGCCTGCACTGGCTTGCCCAACCCAGCTGGGCCCACACTACAGTCTGCAAAGCCAAATAATTTCACATTAAATCTGCCATCAAAACAGCTGGGACCTCAGGGGTTGAACCCAGCCCTGACGCTGCAATGAGCTGAAGAGAGGTCAGGTCTTGAAAACAAATAAGATAAAAGCTTTTGGCCTGTTTTCACAAAAAGTACAAGGCATAACAAAGGCAGGTTGGCTCCTTTTTGCTCCTCATGTATTTATTTCAGACTGTTCAGATTTGCTATTCAGGAAAATGAGGTTAAAAAGCAGAGAACCCAGACTTCATCTAAATACAGGGTCAGGTTGTGGCAAGAAACACACCTGACCTGAGAAGTCTGGAAGCATTCCTAGGTCCCCTGGTTTAAAACCATCCATTGTGATGCATAAGCAAAACCCAGACATAAATGTTAATAGGATAAGTGCAGCTCCTGGAAACAAGAGCGTCATTATTGGAGATCAAAGCTATATTTGACATCCCTGGGACAGATTTGCTGCTGTATATGAATACTTCAGCAGCACCATGCACGTGTTGGGCTGGCAGAGGTGGCTGATTAAATTGGATGCATTGCTGGAACAACATAATGCAATCAATTTGCCCCAGAAGTCTTTAGCTGTTTTCCAGACACAGGAGTGTTACAGAGGCAACACAGAAAACTTGATCAATGACCTGTGAAAATCTGATAAAGATAAGAAATGGCAGATTGGACCTTTCAGTTTGAGCCTGTACAATTCAAGCACCATGTCGGTGTCCCTGACACTCCCAAGCTGTGGCACATACTCATCCAACAAAAGACACCTGCATAACAGGGCACTAGATCCTAAGAACAGCACAACTGCTCTTACAGAGGCAGACAACACATTGCCAGTGCCACAGCTAGTGACAATGCAAGAACTTCAGGAATTTCTACACTGAAGTGTGTCAATCCCCTCAGCAACAGTAAGAATCCTTCCCTGCTGCTGCCTCTGATGCTCTCCACATCTGTTCAGCACACAGTAGGAGCAGACAATTTTTCCTCCTGCAAACTGGCATCTCTGAGGGACTCAACACTGAGCCAGAACACAGGCAAGTTCTACATCTCTGATAAGGACTTAAAGAAAGGAGGTCAAATTTAGCATGAGTTACCTTCCACCCATTTTCAGGTAACCAAAGCTGCTTGCAGCTTAATAACTTCCCATCAACACAGCAGAAAATGTATTTCTTTTAGCAGATAACCTTTATAAGAAGAAGTGTATTCCAACTTCATTGTTGGAGAAACTGAGCCTCAGAAAGGCTATGAGATCACACAGAAAACACTGGTTAAAAATCATGTTGGAAAAAGAGAAAATCCACTTCTTGTGTTGTGGTATACCTCTCTTCTCAGGGAACTGACAGCTGGTTGCACTGAAGTGAGGAAGTGGATCCTTTGTCACCTCAGTGCTTTTCTCAAGTCTTTTCTGGTTTTCATTTCAATATTTTTATGCTACATTAGAAAATCTGAGGGCTAATGGAATGCTCTTCTCACTCCCATGCAAGAATGTGAAATAAGGGCACAAAGTAAGGTCATGTTATATGTACTAAAATCTCACCGTACTTAGAGACCAGATAAATAAGTCATTAATCCAGTTAAGCAGCCTTGCAGATAAATGACTGTTAAAACCCATAATTGGATGAACTGGTTCCTCCTCAAAAATAACCTTTAATGAATTGACTCTGCGGTTCTAACAGTGGATTCCAAGCCTTTCCCATTGTGACATTGACCAGGACTGCTGTGTCAAGTGGAACGACAAGAGCATTAACCCAAACTTTAATCTCCTCAGAGTCAGATTTGTTGCCCTGGGAAGCAGCAACACATCTGATTTACCTGACACCCTTGGCTTTTCATGGTGTCCATTGCCTTCTTAACTGCAGGGTTTGGAGGTTCAGTGAATTCCACCTGAGTCTTCACATTCTGCTCAAAATAGGGGCCAATCAGGAAATAGTTTTCACCCCATTCATCTGCTGTAGTTTTGGCTTTTGTCTGGATCACAGTGTAAATGCCTCCCACTGCAAAAGAAGATCACAAAAAACAAAAATTAGAAAGGGGTACAGGCTACAGATCTCTGTACTAAGCTCCAACCCATCCGTGGATCAGATACACTGCTAGTTAAATCCCTTCACATATGTAGGCTTTACGTGAAACCAGCCTCAATCAAATAAATAGAAGTTCAGTCCCTTAAATGGTATCAGAGCTTCCCTGTTCAGCTGGGGGATTGAAATCCTGGGCCTCATACTTCCACTCTCCCATGTCTGATCTTGATTCTGCTGCATCCCAAGCACACCCTTCTGCTTTTGTTTTATTGCCTCAGTTATAATTTTCAAACCTATTTTTCATCACATGGTAAGAACCGAGCTTATTTGACACAAATCACAAATCACAAAGAGAATTTGAGAAACTGATGGATTTCATTGACTGGTGCCTATAAAAATGAACTTAACCCAATATTCTCAAAGCATAAGGAGTTTTGTTCCATTAACAGCCTCGAAGAGTTTAGTTAAAGTCGGAGGGAATGTAGCCTACACTGACTACATAAAGTCTGTAGCATCTTTCACCAAAATAATGTCCGCTTTAAAGGCAAATGCAGCATTCAAATGTGTAAGAGAATCCAGCAGCATCCCTTGCTAAGTCAACACAGATCTATCCAGTCCTGCACACGGTGTGCAAGAGTCCCTTAGCTGCTCTTGCTCAGAGTTGGCCATAGCCAGCCCTGGAATTCACACACTGGCAGGGCAAACCTCTTTGCTACAGTGCCCAGGGTGCCAGGCAGTGGAAGTGCACCACCACCAAGTCAGAAGAGCAATAGGGCAGGCTTGAATCCAGCAAGGGAGCAGGATGGTGAGGGAAAGGAAAACCTGAGGCCAAGCAGCTGCTGCACACCAGAGACAATGAGCATAGCTCCAGCAAGGTGGGAGAGAGGGAGCACAACAGGTACAAAGAGCAAAAGGAACACTACAGAAGGGATTGGCACTCCTACATAAATTTTTTCCCCTCCACTGAATGCTGAAGCTTTGGAAATATTGGCAGCACTCTGGGGATGGAGGTGGTGCTCCAGCTTCCAGCAGTGACATCAAAATTACCTATGGAGCCAGCACTGAAAGCTGCCAGGGATTGAGAGCTGGCATCCTAGGCTCACCCTTTTAAAGCTATTGGGATAACCAGAGGTGCCAGTGCACCATATCCAATACAATTAAAAACCTTGAGAAGTTACCTAATTCTCCTTAAAAATCTGCCACTGTTATGTACAATATGGCAGTTGAAGTTGCTCAGCACTTTGGGAGATTAGTTCCCAGATTAATTAAACTGCATCCCCTGACAAACACAGAAAGCCTTCTGCAAAGCCTGCTATCTTGCAGCCCTGGGAAGCCAAATGACAGAGCTACAGTTTCAATTATGCTCCTAGAAAATAAATTGTTCACTTAAATGCCTTTTCTCTACAAATATCCCATTTGTTTTGAAGGCTCAAAGGGCCTCTGGTCTCAATATTTTCATGTCTCAGGATTCTAGGTATTTACAAAGAGGAAAAAAAAATGCTGTTTCAATCTACCAGCTTGCTAAGTAGAATTAGTACAATAAATTTTTACCCTTAATAATTCAAGACCTAAGAAGACAAGAATCTTACAGATGTCTGTTCCTAAATCAAACTGTCAGTTCAAGAGTTTCACATCATGTAGCCATGGAATTGCAGAAGGAAGCCTATGCACAACACTATTATTCTCCCCTTCAGCAGGACCAGAAAGCTTAAGAAACTAATTTATAGTCATCATAATCTTCCATGGCTGCTTTGGACAGGGATTTAGAGCAATCTTAGATAAAAAACACTGTATTTTCCCTCCAAGTTCCTCTTCTCAAGCTGAGATAGTCTATTTGAATAGCTTGGATCCAGATAAACATAAAATTTTAATTATATGAGACAAATCAGAACATTGACCCTAAAAAGCAATAGTTACGATGATACCTCTGTTTTTATGGGGTGGTAAATTCATCATAGGAGCATAAGAGGCCTCAATCCAAAATAAGATAAATATGAGACTTGATAGAAATCTTAGTCATGAAACTGGCTGGTTTGAATTGGCAGGGATACAGAGCTTAGAATGAGGAAAGATTTCAGTGCAGAGCAGCCGGGTGATCCAGGAAAAAGAGAAAACATGACTTGCGAGATGAAAGACACTAAATACCACGATAAAGCTGTATATGCCTAGAGTGAAGCAAAGCTCCTTCCCCCATCCTAGGAGTGTGGATCAGCCTCTTCCACACTGCAAAGGGCTCAACGCTGGGATTGGCAACGTAGCTGATTTTCCACATCCATGGATTTGAAGGGAAATGGGGAATCTGCAGCTCAAGGGCAGGGCAGAGCCTGGATCTTTGTTTCACACAGCCAGCATCTGAGTGTTTCTTTTCACAAGGTTATCCTTAGGATCCCTGTGTGTCCTAAAGGGCCAAAGATGTATGGAAGGCCTCTTATGGGGGAAAGAATGGAGAGTGTGCTGTGCTCTGCTGTCACAATCTGTTGCACAGCAAGGTAAAAAATATTTCAGGGCACTGATTTGCCTGAAATGCACTAAAAAGTACTTATGATAAAATCCAAGGAGTACATTTTACAGGCTGTTAAAACTCCTCAGAAGTTAACTGTGATAAAAGCAGTGCTACCTGGCCCCCAAACCTGCTTTTGTCTTCCCGGTTACTGTGGAAATATGACTCACAAAGCATGTTTGTGCATAAGGTTTAACTGACAGCAGAGGGAAACTGCAAGTGAAACTATGTATGTAGGAAGTGTTGGGTATAACTTAAAAAAGACATCTTGAGAAGAACAGAGCAATGTCTAGAATAATGCATTGAGTTTTGAAATTACACTTCTCCACAGCAAACTCCAGGAACACATTATATATCTTTTAGGAGGTAGTTTCTATATGCTCAGTTGCTTTGAATTCCCTGGAAATACCTGTGCCAGTAAGCAAAACATTAAATATCCTACTGAGTAGCAGAGTAAGGGTTTAAATGTTCAGCTCACAGAATTCTCAAATTGCTTCAACAATTTGGTAAGCCTTCTTTTTCTTGTCTAATACAATGTTTTAGGTCATACTATAAACAGAAAACCTTTCCAAAAAACAGGGATATACGAAAATGTTGCAAGTTTCTCCATGCTGCCTCTGAAATTTTGTACTTTGAAACAGGGTTAAAACAAACAAGAAATGACAAAATTAGAAACTGATAGAGCAGCAGAACAAGATAACTGGTTTGGAATATCACAGACAAGGGGAATTAGCTGTAAAATGTTGATACAGGAACAGTTTAATATTCTGATATTTAACAAAATGCTTTATTCAAAATATATTAAGTTTTAGTCATTTTAAAACATTTTGAAATAAATATATTTTTATTATTTCTTTTTAAAACATGCTTTTAACCTTTCCACCAGTAAATGAAATCAACTTTAAAAGGAAATCAACAAAAAATCTTTCCCCCATCTATCTCCTTTTCATTCTTCCTCTTTTTTTTTTCTTTTTAAAGGAAAAAAACTGGCACAAAAAGGGGAGCTTAGATATTTGGAAAAGAAGGATTTTGTTAATTTAAGGGAAGTTTGACATCTTTTTACTAGCATCTTTAAAAACAGAAGATGAAATCAAAATACTATCTCAAAAAATTTCACAGAATTATTTTAAAAGTCTAAACCTTTTTACCTATGTTAACACTCCTAGAATTTGTCTAAAAGCGTTCTCTGCATCACTCCAGCATTTTCTCTTTTCCTTGTTTCAAGTCCTGCTGCATTATTTCTTTCATATATTTAAAATCCAAGCAGCAGTTAGAGCTTGTCCTCCTACCCACCCCACACTGCAGAAGGGCAGAATGAAGGAGCACCAGAAACCAAAAATGAGGGAGAGAAATAGGAAGTGAACTGTGGAAGTGAGACAGAGGTAAGCGGAGATTGTCACTGATCCTTTCCCACACACCTGTGGTACACAGAGAGAGCACCAGGATGATTCCAGGGCTCTGCAGCTTCTCTGCTGTGTCCTGACCAGGCCACTCTGGAGGCATTAAAGCCTCCCTGAGAACCATGAGAGCCACAGGATCCATGGGAGCAGCGCCAGCCCAGGCTCGGGACAAACTGCCACAACCACTCTCACATCAATTGTTTCACCATTCTCCTCAGAATGTGTCTTTGATCTGCACAGCTGTGATAAAAATTTGGATCGAACTTGTTTCTAACATTTCATTGGAATCTGATTGATAGATTGTCTGAAAATCAGGCTGTGAAATGTGTCAGGTGGAAAACAACCAGCATCTTCAGCCAACAGATATATTTCCTGTGGTTTTTGGGCTATGTTTGTGGCCAGGACTCCTCAGAAGACAGATTTCCACATTCTCTGAAATTCTGACATTCCAAACATATTCTGAAATAATACTGAACCATTGAAACTTATGACAGATGTCCACAATTGAGAAGCTATTTCTGTGTGCATCATCCCCAGTGCACAGGATTTCACTTGGAATTGATTTGACATTGATATTCCAGCCCACTCTATAAACGCACAGAGCTCTGAGGCTGTGCTTATGCCAAGTTTATGCCAGCACATCCCCACTCCCCAAAGGGTGTTACTTCAGCTGTGTCACAAATTACAGTAATCACCTTCTCCCAAGGAAGTTTCATCATGGGAAGACACAGAGGAGGGAAAATGCTGGTCCTACTGACTTCAGTGGATTCAGGATTTCATTTCCAAGAGTCCAGTTTTCACCAGAGAAGCTGAACTGAGATCTTTGCTCCAGGGAGAGCTGAAACAAGCTTTGTTTTTAGCACAGTCTCCATTCCAATGGGGATGGAATAAAAATATTTGAGATTCATCTACCAGTGACTCTTGAGCTAAGCTGTTCACAGCTGAATGATGACACAAGCTGGCTGTTTGCCCAGCATTTTTAAGCATTCTTCTACTTTCTATCTAAAAACTGTGAGTGGTACAGCAAGGGATACTAATCTAAATATCACTGGAATTATTTTCAAGACATCGTTCTAGAGAAAAAGGTGGATCTTGAACATTCTCAGCCCTTCTAACCAGTGTGTCAGAAATCCCACCACGGACAACCCAGGCCCAAAATCTTCATAGCTTGGTAGCCACTTCTTTTGTGCTCCTGTACTTAAAGCTTTTAATAGTCTTCATGCTATTGAGGAAAGAAACCACTCCTTTTTTCCACACTTGTATGACCAGACCTTGTTTTACTAGAGCATGATGGCCAGGAGAGAAAGAGAGTTAAAAATGCTGATTTCCCCCACAATTATCACCAGATTTGTGGCACTGCAATGGACTGGGGCCCTTCACTGCCTGCATTTTTCCCCTTCTGCCACAGAAACACTGTAGATCCACTTCACTTATGGTTTGGCCTATCAGTGAAAAGCCAACTAAAGTGAGGGAAATCACACAAAAAAACCTACTAATTTCTTATTTCTTTGGCAGAGGACTTTCAATACCAGAGGATTTCAATATTGTTTTTGTTTTAGGTGGCAAGTTCCCTCTCATGACTTGGAGGAATGGTGAGGGAGAGTGACATTGGCAGATGAGCCTTTTTAATTTCCCATTTTCTCCTTCAGCTACCTTACTTTTGCTTGCTCAGACAGAGTAGAGTGAGAGGTGTAACTGAGAGGCCAAGGTTTTGTGTCAGAGGATGCAACTTAGCACAGGCTGAAGCCAGGACAGAAAATACAAAAAGGAAACATGGAGAAGTAGAAACTCTTCCTTGTTAGAGCACTTTTTAAATTATCCCTTCTTAAAACAAAAGGAGAGAAAACTCCCCTGTTCCAGCTGCTGACAAAGAAGAGATGAGACTCTGGAAATAATGGATACTTGTAGATCTTTGAGCCCTGAGTTCATGCAACCATCTTCTTCCCTACAGCTGCACCTCATGCCTCAGTAACAACCAGCACCATCAGGGAAATGCCATGGAATGCTTGCTCCCCCTCTACGGAATCAGATATTCTCTGATTTGCAGGACTTCCTTGCCATCCCTGGCTCTGAAGAGGTTCAGCTCTGCTCCTGTAAAGGTCATTGGTTACAGGGTGTGGGGATGGATATCCACCTGTGAGCTCTGCCATCACCTTCCTCACGGAAAGAGGACAATTCAGCCTGACTGTCAGTGCCACGAGAGAAATGGAGGGATTATTAAGAATCAGCACTGGCCAAGGAGGAAACGTACCCAAGCACCTGGTGATGCACCAAAATAAAGACTGGGACTTGCTCCTGTGGGCAGAAGCAGCTTTACATCACCTCAGAAATGCAAACCAACTTCAGCCTGAGCTCCTCTGACATACCTTTGCATCGCCAGAAAGGAAGACAGAAACCTTCACGTTAAATGCTCAAAATTAACTTCTCAGGCAATAAATCCCGAAAATGTTTATCTTGCCCTCTATGTTAGGAACATGTGCAGCAGCACAAACACTAAAACATGCAATAGAGCTAAATCTCTGTGTGGTCAGTTTATTTCATCAAACAAACAATTCCTCTTGCTAAAGGAGCTAGGAAATATACATTACAAGCTGTTATTTCCTAAGCTTGGATATCTTCTGTAATGACTCTCCCTGTATTTTGCTGTCTACTCTCTCTCACAGTGCTGTAACATTTTCCCAGAACTGTTTATAAAAGTTAGGTCACCAAGGAACAGTTCTCACCACGTGACTTAGACATTCAATTGCCTGGGAGATATAGAAAAAAAAACCCCCAAACTCTCAGTATCAAGAATTTACCAGAAAAATAGGCTGAAAAAGCATTATAAAATTATAATAAATTAAAATATAATATATTTTGCACAGATGTTTCTAGTTGAGCTTGATTAATGGAAGCTTTGCAGAAGGTCAGATTCTAATGAAGAAATTGCTTTCCATTCCATGTTCCTTCAGCCCTGTCTGAATATATGGGCTTGGAAAGTGGTGTAAGCAAAGGAACCTTATTTTTAAACACGCTGAATAAAACTCACTTTATTAATATTAATTCTCTCATAAAATGTGTGAATGGTAAATTTTAGCTGTGTCAGTTGATTTGGCTCCAGTGAAGTCAGACAGAGCTCTATGGATGATTAAATGATTCACTACATTTTGTACATGCTCTGGGAAAATCTAATTGGGTTATCTTCTCTTAAAAATCGTGTATGATATCTACAACCACTGGGTCCAGATGACTCAGGAAATATGCATGCTGTGGAGTTCAGAGAAGTCAGTGAGAACTCCTGAATTTCCTAGATTTCTGCTGCCATCTGCTTGCCAGAGCCTTACTTATTAAGCACACTGCAAAAGTGAATGCTGCATGCTCCAAGTTGTGGCCTTTGTAATTTAACTCTAAAAGCTTGGCTGAAGCTACTGAAAAACAAGCCCACAGTGATTCAAACAGCCAAATCTACTCTGTCTCACCTCTAGGTATTGATAAGGATCACCACCCTAAAAAAGCAATGTAAACCAGCAGAAATTATCACAGAACAGTAATTTGAGTTTCCCCATGGGGATAAACCCCAGTACTGCCTGTTCCTCTCACACACATTTCCTCTTTAAAGTTAAATTCTTAACAGTTTACAGATCCCCTCTCCTGATTAAACTCTGTTTATCTGCCAGGACAATAACACACAGGAGGTCAATCATTTACTCATATTAACTCACTTTTGCAGTGAAAATGGAAGCTTGCAGAACTATACCTACCCGAAAGGGGATGATTTGATGAATGAATTAGAAATAGAGGCAGGAGGATTTTTGCCTAGTAAGCAGCGTGCCCTTTGCCTGACCAGCATCAACCAATGAACAAATGAAGCCCTGTCTGGCACCACCTGTGTTTGCAAAGAGCAGTCCAGAAGAGTTTTAGCTGGCACACAAAGGCCGCTGGTCATTGACTCCTGGGTTTTGTTCAGTGGCTGTACACAGCTCTATTTATTTATTCCCCTTCCAGGCCTGGCCTCTTCTCCACACTGCTCTGGAAGGCTGAGGGGGGGCTGCTAAACTGCTGTGCATCTGATCTCTGTTGTACAGCTCATTTCCATGCATGACATTCCTAAGTGAATTTGCATGGAAGGCAAAACCTAAGTATGTGCAAAGCAATTTAGATAGCTGCACACTCAGACTTATCACTTAGATGTTCAACCCCCCCTCCGTGGTGGTGGAACACAAAAAGACACAGAGACATCCTGGCTCTGCCCATCCCACACAAGCCCAGGCAGATGCAGCCCATGCTCAGCATGCACAACCACACACCTGCACTTCTCCCAGTCCAGCAGCTCTGCAGCCCTCTCCAGTCTCCCTGTGAATGCCTTTCTTCTCCAGCCCTTCATCCCTCCCTCCACTCCTGAGAAAACAGCAATACTAACCCCCAAGTGTGGTACAAACCTTTGTTGGTAACCTCCCAAGAAATTTCAAAGAGCAACAAATCCTCCACGGGCAGGTCTTCATCCTCACACTGAAGAAGCCCATTCAGAGATGTCATGGACAGGGATCTCGCCAGTGGCATTTTGTTCAGCCCCTGAGTGCTCACCACGCAGGCCACAGCAGTCAGCAAAGTCCAGGTCCCGTGGCAGTGCTCTGCAGTTCTGGTTAGAGCAGTCTGCCTGTGTGCTGGGATCCCAGGAGAAAATTATTCAGATAGCTGGGAGCTAATGGGTTTAAACTGTCTGACCACCAGCATTAAATTGGCTCAGTGAAATCCTCAGGGCTTGAGAAGCAGCTGCTGGGAGAGGTAAGAATTTAACACTGACCTGAGAAAGGTCTCAACTGTTTTGGGGCCACAGCTCTTTCTTTGTCTTCTCTCAGAAGGAGGTAAAAAAAGATTTTTAGCTCCTGAACCACAGCATTCAGTCTCCACCAGCACCTCAGGAGCAGCTGACATTGGAGGGTTGTAAAGTCAGCACCGCCCTGAGCTAACTCCAACAGGGAGGACACTTTGAGTTCACCACCTGATGTGAGTCCAGCCCCTGAGTCCTCCCCTCCAGACACACCCTCCCCTTACACCCTGGAGTTTTCCTACCTGCTGGCCATCTGCAGGAGTTAGAGTACACTCATTTTACATGATGTCTCTCAGGTTCCTTGCCAGATAAAATGATGTTAGCTCTTGTTTTTCAGTTCAGCAGTCTGTAAGCCCGAGTTTACCTCATCTCCTCTCTCCACAATTATCTCCAGCTCTGCTCCCAGGACTCTGCATCAGCTGTTGGCTGCTTTAGCAGCTCTGCAGTCCTGCCAGCTTTTACAGAGCTACAAAGGCTCTACCCCTGTTTTGGCATGCACTCTGCCCCTCCTTGCAGTCCTGATTTTCCACCTGTTTGGATTTTTTTCTATGCCATAGGTCTTTCCTCACCTCTGGGCCCATGTCCTCCCCCCAGGGAGCTTAGTAAGTACCATGTCAGGGCACAGCATGCCCCTGTCTTCTCCAGCACAGAGCTGGGATGCTGCAAGCACTGAACACACATTGATAGAGATGCTGGTCCCTAACTCACAGCCTGAGATCCTCACACCTCCCCAGAGCAGCTGCCTGCTTGTTAGATGCTTATATTACGCATCTGGTTGAGAAGCCAGTGCTTCTGGGACAGCTGTGCCAGCTGGCTCTGTTTCTGAGCTTAGAGCACAACCTGCCCAAAACCCACAGTGCAGCAGGGAGCAAATCTCCAGGTGAGCTCCAGGACATCTCTGGCACTGTGGAGAATACCACTGCAGCAGCAGGCATAGGAGGAAAGGCTCTGAGCTCACCTGGGGCAAAGCAAGTCTGACGATTGGTTTAGGAGACAGGCAGCGCATCAGCATAGAAGTCTCTTAGACATAATACATAATGCATGGCACAGCTGAGCCTGCCTTAAAGAGTACCTACCCCCCACAAGACTTGCTCTTCCACTTCCACACTCTGTACCCTCTCTGCATTCACGGCAGTCAGACCCATCTCTGAGCTGGTGGATACAGCTCACTGAAAATACCTAAGGATGCGGGAAACCTTTTTTTGCAGAGTTAAGAACTGGAGCTGTCTCAGAAAAGAGCCTGGTAAGGGGCCCGGGATATTCAGGGGTTTGTTGGCTGAGTGTCATTTTGTCTCTATGGTTTGAGCTGCCCTATTCACCAGTCTCTAAAAAAGAGGCCTGGCCGAGAACCATTATGTTTGGAGCAGCTGTGGCTTTTACTACCTGCAGTAGGTAGGAACCCAGATCATCCACTACCTAAAAAACCATGCTATTTAAAAGAAAAACCAGTAATACATTAAGGCTCACAATTTATGAACATCAGATGTGCCCAAGTTAGAGTTTCATTCCTTTCCTGGGACATTCACACTGAGGGTGAGGCCTAAAGCTGTGGGGTGCACAAAGGCCACCTCAGGTGAGGCGTGGAGAACAGAGAACAAACGAGCTGACAGGTTCATCCCCATCCCACAGGTTTTCCTCACCCTGTGGAAATATATACACAGTCAAACTTCTCATTTTAAAGGTGACAGGGGTGCATTGAGCCCCTGGCACCCCTCACTGACCGCACCGAGCATGATCACCGTCACTGTGAGTAAATCCCAGGAGCTGCAGCTTCCCTGAGGGAAAGCTGATGGATTTGTGGGTGTGGGGGCCACATCCCCATTGCTCCTGGGGGCCACTGTGCTCTGCAGGTCCTTACACAGCTCTCAGGGTGCTGAAATCAAAACTGTTCACATCACTTACCTCTCCAGGGACCACAGTATCACAGAATGGTCTGGGTTGGAAGAGACCTTAAAGATCTCATTCCAGGCCCTGCCATGGGCAGGGACACCTTCCACTACCCCAGCCCCATCCAGCCTGGCCTTGGACTCTGCCAGGGATGCAGGGGCAGCCACAGCTGCTCTGGGCACCCTGTGCCAGGGCCTTTCAGCTCAAAGCCATCACCCCTGTCACTCCAGGCCATTGTAAAAAGTCCCTTTGCAGCTCTCTTGTAGTGTCTCTTCCATAATAAAATCTCCCCAGAGCCTCCTCCAGGCTGAACAGTCCCAGTTCCCTCAGCCTTTCCTCATAGCAGAGGTGTTCCATCCCTCTAAAAAACCCTCTAGCAGTGATGCCAGATAATCAGTGGTACTGGTTCACTGACATACCTATGTCCCTAAGCATTCAAAAGCCTGAAAAGCATGCAAATGATTTTACAACAATGAACTAAAGTTTAGCATTAAATTTTTCAAGCTCCTCACATAATCTGTGGTTTTCAGGTTCTTGAGTGTCATGTTTTTCCAGCTTCTGTTTGTAATAAGATGATAATTATTTTACTGTTTGAATTTAACAAAATATTATATAATTCCTTAAACCTTGGCAAAGGAGTTAGAAAGAATGTTCAGATACCATGAGATAATTCCACAAGCACTGGCAATGCCATCCTTGAGTGAACCTGGGAGCAACTCACCTTTGGCAGTTTGGAGATAATCAGTTTTTACTGATAAAAAGTGCTCAGTAGCACAGTGAACTTCAGCATTCCTTCATATTCTGACTACATTTCATTTTATCCAATCTACATGTCTCAAGGAGGGTTTTTTTTCACACAATGCCATCCCAAATTCCTGTTTTTCTGTTAGTGAGGGAAAAATATTTGAAGTGCCCAGGAAAGGCGAGCTCCAACAGATAGTCCAGAAACTTTCATCCCTGCAAATTCTCTTAATTGCCATAGGGCAAAGGGCCCTATTCATTATATTTATGGCCTGCAGGGGTTAACTATGGGATATCTGGGGTGCAGCTGGAGTTATCTGGGTTTAGGGCCATAAAGGAGGCCATGTGTTGCTGTGCACATATAGTAAGACAAAATAAAAGCTATTCAGAAGAAAAGCTGTATTCCGATATTAAGAAGGGCAACCTTTAGCTGTCCTCCCTGTGAGGTGCAGTGAGGTGCAAGTGCTGAAATGGACCCTCTGCTGCCACTAGAACAATGTGTCATTTTTGTCACAAAGGCAGGGAAAGGTTGTGACTATCATCCTCCAGTTTGTTCCTTTTTCACCAAACAGAGGCTGGATGCTGAAGTGGGGAGGTGGAAACATACCAGAAAGTCTAGTTTTTAAAATATAACATTGATTAAAATATTTCCCAGAAATCTGGAAACCAGTGAGACTGGTTTTGAATCCAGCGTAGCTTCTCATATTGTTCTTATCACAAACTGTACAGATGCCCTTTGGTAATACATTATTCATTGCGTTGCAATTCTGCCAGACACCAGTTGTTACCTCACCAAATTCTTTTTCAGCCCACAGAAGTGAAATAATTTTGTTTGCAAGAATACTGGACAATAAGAAGGCTGAGTTTGCAAGGTCTTTGGAGAGAATTATACAAAGTGTGTGTATTGTTTTTCCCAAATTTTCTAGAGTTCTAGGAGAGAGCGATTCAGGGATGATGGTGTGCATTCTGCTCTACCTAAATCTCATTTTGAAAGTGTTGCCTCTAGGCTATTGTCTAGTCTGCACACTTTGATCCAGCTCCTATCTGGGTTGAGCAAAGTTTCCTGCAAAAACTCACTCAGTATATCACCCCAAGAAGTAAGTTGTGGATGTTGTCTTCAGACCACAGCCTTTACACCAGAACCACTCCAGACAACCTTTTTTTCTTGGAATATCAACCTCAGTCTCCCTGGCTTCAAGTGAGAAGGTGCCTGTAGGGGAAGAGACACTTTCCATGTGTGGAAGTTTAAGAGGAGATAATTGTCTAGGACTGGCTTGCTCTGAACACAACTGTGGTTTCCAGGTTTGCCTAAATTAACTGTGGAGAAAAAAATTAGACATGGATGTTAAAAATGCACAGACATTGAGTCAAATTAGAGAGGAGGGAAGGACAGGGTTTGTAGCAGTCACTGCTGCACACACACTGTACTTGTGACACAGAGCAGTAGGTGGCACTGATGGCATTCACATGAGTTCTCCAGTGTCCCTGTCATTTTGTCATTGCAGAGTCCAGGGGAGATCAGGGAGGGGCCCAGAAGTGCTCTAGGGACAGCCCTCATTGCCTGCCTGGCAGCAACTTCATCTCATCCCAGCCGAGAAGTGATGCCCTTCACTCCTGCCCTGGCTGTGCAAGGCCAGAAATTGATCCAAATCTCTCACAAGTTGAGAATTTTTCTTCCAGTTAGAGGACAGGCATGTAGAATAATCCTGTGAAACAGCCAGGAGGCAGAAAGGGCTACAAAACACTTGATGTGACACAATGGATTTTTCTCAGTGACACTTGGTATGTGTTGTCCTTAATTAGGAACTTGGGAGTGCATGGACTTCAGGACACACCAAATCAAAGACATTCCTATCAGCTGGTCTGAGAGGCTGACCATATTCCCAGCCCTGCAGAATATTTTGGTCTCTACTGTTTCATCCAGGAGTGACAATGAGAGCCATCCTGCAAATATCAGCATGCCATGGGCAAGTTTAAGGTTAATATTTTTGGAACTGGCTGTGGAAAATTATGCCAGAGTAGCTTGGCCACTAAGCTGGATCCTGCAACTTGGATATAAAGGAGAATACCACCATCCCATTTAAAGTTTAAAATAAGTGTGGTGATGAGCAGGTATCCCTCTGAGGGATAGCACTGCTCCATGCATAATCTATGCTACAATTCATGTGTGCCATTTTCCCATGTGAGCAGAGATTTGGGAATGTTCGCTTTTGAAGTCACCTCATCCCAGGTACCTGAAGTGATCTCCTGACAAAGGAAGGACATACAGCTCACATTCCTGCAGAGGGAAAAGTGTCCCTGTCTGTATCTCAGGTGGGCACTAGG